TAAGTAAAAAATCAAAAAAAACAAAGTCGAAAAATTTAAAAATCGAATACATATTGAAAAATTCCAAAATTGAAAAATCCTGAAAATGTAAACATTGAAAATTTGAAAATCGAAAAGGCGAAAAATCGAAAAATCTAAAAATGAGAAGACAAAAAATCGAAGACAAATCGAAACAAAAAAGTGAAAATTTTTAAATTCAAAAATTCAAAAAATTGAAAATTTACAAAATTGGGGAATGAAAACATCAACGCATCGAAAATTCAAAGAATTGAAAAATCGAAAAATGTAACATTTAAAAAATCATACAATTTTGAAAAATCGAATCAGGAAAAAATCAAGAAAACAGAAAGTCGAAAAATTAAAAAATTTAAAAATCGAAATACATTTTGAAAAATCCCAAAACTTAAACATTGAAAATTTGAAAATCGAAAAATTGAGGAATCGAGAAATCGGAAAGACGAAAAATCGAAGGGTCGAAAAATTAAAAATTCCATTAATCGAGAAATTGAGAAATCGGAAAAACCAAAAATTTAGAAACGCCAAAAATTTAAAAATTTAAATAAACTGAAACGTCGAAAAATTAGAAACTCGAATAATCGAAAAGACGAATAATCAAAAAACTGAGAAATCGAAAAATCGTAACCGAAAAATTGAAAAAACGCGAAATCGAAACTTCAAAAGATCGATTAAAAAATTTAAACCCAAGAACTCGATAAATCGAAAAATTGAAAAATCGAAATTTGGAAAAACTGAAAAATTAATTTCGAAACATCTAAAAATGACAAGACAAAAAATCGAAAGACTGAGAAAAATCGAAAAATTTAAATACATGCATCCCAAAAACTAAAACGTCGAAAAATTGGAAACTCGAATAATTAAAAAGACGAATAATCAAAAGAAAAACCGAGAAATCGTAAAGCCCAAAATCGAAAAATTGAAAAATTAGAAATTGAGAAATTGAAAAATTTCAATTTACAAAAATTGAAAAATCAAAGAAATGAGGGATCGAAAATGTAAAATTTAAAAAATCAAACAATTAAAAAATCAAAACATCGAAAAATTGGAAAATTGAAAAACCGAAAAGTCGAACTAGCCCAAAAATGATAAATTAAAGAGTGAAAAATTGAAAAAATTTCAATTTAAAAATATCGGATAATCGTGGAAACGAAAAATCTAAAAATTGAAAAATCAAAAAAAAAAGAAATCCAAAAATCTAACATTTAAAAATGAAAAAAAATAAAAAATCGAAAAATTGAGAATTCCAAAACTGAAATATTGAAAAACTGGGAAATCAAACAATTGAAAAATCGAAACATCTACATATTGGGAAATCGAAAAATATGTAAAAATCGAAAAATCTAAAGTCGAAAATCGAAAAGTCGATGAATCGAAATATCTTAAAATCGAAAAATTAAACACTGAAAAATCGTCAAAAAACGAGAAATCGAGATTTCTGAAAAATCAAAATATTGAAAAATCGAAAAACTGAAGAATCGAAAAACTGAAAAATTAATTTTGAAAATTGAGAAATCGAAATATCTCAAAATCGAAAATTTTAAAACGGAAAAAATGCAAAATTTAAATGAAAAAAAAAACGATAAATCGAAGAATCGAAAGAGTCAAAAATGAAAAATCGAAGCACCCAAGGTTTGTAAAATCGAAAAATATAGAAATCGAAACCCTCAAAAGTCGAAAATTAAAATCGAGAAATCGGAAAATTTGAAATTGAAGAACTGAAAAGCTCCAATTTACAAAAAAGAAACGATAAACTAAAAAGTGAAAAATTGAAAAAATTTCAACTCAAAAAAATTCGGTAATCGCGAAATCGAAAAATCTAAAAACTGAAAAATCAAAAAAAGAAATCGAAAAATCTAAAATTTAAAAACTTAAAAACTGAAATATTGAAAAACTGGGAAATCAAAAAATTGAAAAATGGAAACATCTAAATATTGGGAAATCGAAAAATATGTAAAAATTGAAAAGTCTAAAGGTCGAAAATTCAAAAATCGAAAAATCGATAAATCGAAATATCCTAAAATCGAAAAATTAAACACTGAAAAATCATCAAGACTGAAAAATCATCGAGATCTCTGAAAAATCAAAATATTGAAAAATCGAAAAACTGAAGAATCGAAGAACTGAAAAATTAATTTTGAAAATCGAGAAATCGAAATATCTCAAAATCGAAAATTTTAAAACGGAAAAAATGCAAAATTTAAATAAAAAAAAAACGATAAATCAAAAAATCAAAAGAGTCAAAAATTGAAAAATCGAAGCACCCAAGGTTTGTAAAATCGAAAAATATAAAAATCGAAACCCTCAAAAGTCGAAAATTAAAATCGAGAAATCGGAAAATTTGAAATTGAAAAACTGAAAAACTCCAATTTACAAAAAAGAAAACGATAAACTAAAAAGTGAAAAATTGAAAAAATTTCTACTCAAAAAAATTCGGTAATCGCGAAATGGAAAAATCTAAAAACTGAAAAATCAAAAAAAGAAATCGAAAAATCTAAAATTTAAAAACTTAAAAACTGAAATATTGAAAAACTGAGAAATCAAAAAATCAAAAAATGGAAACATCTAAATATCGGGAAATCGAAAAATATGTAAAAATTGAAAAATCTAAAGGTCGAAAATTCAAAAATCGAAAGATCGATAAATCGAAATATCCTAAAATCGAAAAATTAAACACTGAAAAATCATCAACACTGAAAAATCATCGAGATCTCTGAAAAATCAAAATATTGAAAAATCAGAAACTGAAGAATCGAAAAACTGAAAAATTAATTTTGAAAATCGAGAAATCGAAATATCTCAAAATCGAAAAATTTTAAAACGGAAAAAATTCAAAATTTAAATAAAAAAAAACGATAAATCGAAAAATTGAAAGTCAAAAATTGAAAAATCGAAGCACCGAAGGTTTGTAAAATCGAAAAATATAAAAATCGAAACCCTCAATAGTCGAAAATTAAAATCGAGAAATCGGAAAATTTGAAATTGAAAAATTGAAAAATTCCAATTTACAAAAAAAAACGATAAACTAAAAAGTGAAAAATTGAAAAAATTTCAACTCAAAAAAATTCAGTAATCGCGAAATCGAAAAATCTAAAAACTGAAAAATCAAAAAAAGAAATCGAAAAATCTGAAATTTAAAAACTTAAAAACTGAAATATTGAAAAACTGGGAAATCAAAAAATTGAAAAATCGAAACATCTAAATATTGGGAAATCGAAAAATATGTAAAAATTGAAAAGTCTAAAGGTCGAAAATTCAAAAATCGAAAAATCGATAAATCGAAATATCCTAAAATCGAAAAATTAAACACTGAAAAATCATCAACACTAAAAAATCATCGAGATCTCTGAAAAATCAAAATATTGAAAAATCAGAAACTGAAGCATCGAAAAACTGAAAAATTAATTTTGAAAATCGAGAAATCGAAATATCTCAAAATCGAAAAATTTTAAAACGGAAAAAATGCAAAATTTAAATAAAAAAAAAACGATAAATCGAAAAATCGAAAGTCAAAAATTGAAAAATCGAAGCACCGAAGGTTTGTAAAATCGAAAAATATAAAAATCGAAACCCTCAAAAGTCGAAAATTAAAATCGAAAAATCGGAAAATTTGAAATTGGAAAATTGAAAAATTCCAATTTACAAAAAAAAAACGATAAACTAAAAAGTGAAAAATTGAAAAAATTTCAACTCAAAAAAATTCGGTAATCGCGAAATCGAAAAATCTAAAAACTGAAAAATCAAAAAAAGAAATCAAAAAATCTAAAATTTAAAAACTTAAAAACTGAAATATTGAAAAACTGGCAAATCAAAAAATTGAAAAATCGAAACATCTAAATATTGGGAAATCGAAAAATATGTAAAAATTGAAAAGTCTAAAGGTCGAAAATTCAAAAATCGAAAAATCGATAAATCGAAATATCCTAAAATCGAAAAATTAAACACTGAAAAATCATCAACACTGAAAAATCGTCGAGATCTCTGAAAAATCAAAATATTGAAAAATCAGAAACTGAAGAATCGAAGAACTGAATAATTAATTTTGAAAATCGAGAAATCGAAATATCTCAAAATCGAAAATTTTAAAACGGAAAAATTGCAAAATTTAAATGAAAAAAAAAAACGATAAATCGAAGAATCGAAAGAGTCAAAAATTGAAAAATCGAAACACCCAAGGTTTGTAAAATCGAAAAATATAAAAATCGAAACCCTCAAATGTCGAAAATTAAAATCGAGAAATCGGAAAATTTGAAATTGAAAAATTGAAAAATTCCAATTTACAAAAAAAAAACGATAAACTAAAAAGTGAAAAATTGAAAAAATTTCAACTCAAAAAAATTCGGTAATCGCGAAATCGAAAAATCTAAAAACTGAAAAATCAAAAAAAGAAATCGAAAAATCTGAAATTTAAAAACTTAAAAACTGAAATATTGAAAAACTGGGAAATCAAAAAATTGAAAAATTGAAACATCTAAATATTGGGAAATCGAAAAATATTTAAAAATCGAAAAGTCGAAAGTCGAAAATTCAAAAATCGAAATATCCTAAAATCGAAAAATTAAACACTGAAAAATCGTCAAAAAACGAGAAATCGAGATCTCTGAAAAATCAAAATATTGAAAAATCAAAAACTGAAGAGTCGAAAAACTGAAAAATTAATTTTGAAAATCGAGAAATCGAAATATCTCAAAATCGAAAATTTTAAAACGGAAAAATTGCAAAATTTAAATGAAAAAAAAACGATAAATCGAAAAATCGAAAGAGTCAAAAATTGAAAAATCGAAGCACCCAAGGTTTGTAAAATCGAAAAATATAAAAATCGAAACCCTCAAAAGTCGAAAATTAAAATTGAAAAATTTCAATTTACAAAAAAATCGATAAATCAAGAAAACGAAAAATTAAAAAACGGAAAGATTGGAAAATGGAATAATGTTGGAAGAAACACGCAAAAATAGCTTGAAAAAACGTCCATAGTTTACTCTATTTTTATTTTTGTACCGTTAATGTTAACAATAAAAATTAACAAAAACGTAGGTGTGTATGTACATTTCGCTTGAGGTACTTCACGGGCGTGAGATACCAAAGCTCTACTTCGTGCTTCCGTAGTATTACTGAAGCAATACTACGAAGCTTCGACGGCGACCGATTTGTGAAGATCTTCGTAGTCTTGTAAGACTCCGGCTACTTGGTTTTGAGCTTTCTTCAAACTGTGGGTGCGTTCGCGCTCGTTTTGGAGTAAAGTCAGTCCTCTTTTCACCACGGTGTTGTACCGCTGGGAGAGGGATTCTTCGTTACCTTTGACCCGCGGAATGTGGCCTGTATAACCCGCTATGGGAGGATATTCCGGAGAAATCTTATGTTCTGAAACAACAACAATTTAATCAAGAACGTGTCATTGTCAAAAAAAAAAATATATACCATGAAACTTATTTCTTTCGATGTACTCGTTCAGAGTTCTTTTGACTTCATCTTCGCTTCGGATGGAGATCATTTTCGGGGCACTTTGCGCCCTGAATATTTTGTTGATTTCGTCCTGGGCCATTTGGATCCTTCTGTGTTTGTTGGTTTCGGACTCGTATGTACTGTCGTCGGCTGCTCTGGTGTACGATTTGCCATACCGGAAATTCAGAGTCGGGATAAATCCGGTGTAGCCCGTGATGTACTTGGGGGCTTTGTGTTTAAAATCGACCGCGTAGTAGTCCCTAAATTGTCCTTTGCTTTTCACAATGGGCTCTAAAATCGGGGTTCGGTAGTCCTGCGCCCGGTATTTGTCTTTTTGTACTCCTTGGAAGATTTTCTTGGTGCGTAGCTCCTGGACAAAATAAATTGGTCTAAATCTAGGTAGATACATAGCTATGCATTTCAATTTTGGGGCTTTTGTGATATTTCGTTTTTGAAGGAGAAATCAAAATATTGTCAAAACCGAAAAATTGAAAAATCTAGAATTTTAAAAATCTAAAAAACCCAAAAATTTAAATATTGAGTAGATGAAAATGTTGCAAAATGTAAGATTTAAAAATCCAAGACCCAAAATTGAAAAATCCCAAAACTTAAACAGAGAAATTAAATTGAGAAATTGAGATATCGAAAAATCCAAAAAATTAAAAACGCCAAACATTGGAAAATAAGAAGACAAAAAATTGAAAGACAGAAATCGAAACAACAAAATGAAAAATATAAAATTTAAAAATTCCAAAAATTGAAAAACCGAAAAATGTAACTTTTAAATAATTACAAAATTTTAAAAAATCGAATAAATCAAAAAAATTCAAAATCGAAAAATTAAAAAATTTAGAACTCGAAATTCATATTGAAAAATCGAGAAATCGGAAAAACGAAAAATCGGAAAGTCGAAAAATGAAAAAATCCATTAATCGAAAAAGTGAGAAATCAAAAAACCCAAAAATTCAGAAACGCTAAACACTGAAACACTGAAAATTCGAAAAATTTAAATACATAAATCCCAAAACTTCAATAAAATAAAAAATAAAAATAAATAAAAAACCGAAAAATCGAAAAATCGAAAAGATGAATTATCGAAAAACTGAGAAATCCAAGAATCGAAATCGAAAAATTGTGAAAAACGCGAAATTGAAACACCAAAAGACCGATAAGTCGAGAAGTCGAAAAATCGAAAAATTGAGATATCGAAATAGGTAAGGATCGACAAATGGGAAAACTCAAAATTGAAAAATTTAAACTTAAAAACCCGATAAATTGAAAAACTGGAAAATTCATTTCGAAAAAATGAAAAATCGCAAAATCTAAAAATGAGAAGACAAAAAATCGAAATCAACAAACAAATGAAAAATCTAAAATTTAATAATTAAAAAAATTGAGAATTTACAAAATCGAGAAATCAAAACATCAACGAATCGAAAATTCAAAAAATTGAAAAATCGAAAATGTGACATTTAAAAAATCGCAAAATTTTAAAAAATCGAATAAGTAAAAAATCAAAAAAATCGAATACTTACTAATAACCTCGTTGCTGAAGCCCCGTTATAATCAGTAAATAAATAAAAAAAAAATCAAAATCGAAAAATTTAGAAATCGAAATACATATTGAAAAATCCCAAAACTTAAACATTGAAAATTCGAAAAACGAAAAATCGGAAAGTCGAAAAATGAAAAAACCCATTAATCGAGAAAGTGAGAAATCGAAAAATCCAAAAATTTAGAAACGCCAAACACTGAAACACTGAAAATTTGAATAATCTAAATACATAAATCCCAAAACGTCAATAAAATAAAAATCGAAAAGAGGAATTATCGAAAAACTGAGAAATCCAAGAATCGAAATCGAAAAAACTTCAATAAAATAAAAAATAAATATAAATAACAAAGACTGGAAAATCGAAAAATCGAAAAGATGAATTATCGAAAAACTGGGAAATCGAAGAATCGAAATCGAAAATTTGTGAAAAACACGAAATCGAAACATCAAAAGATCGATAAGTCGAGAAGTCGAAAAATCGAAATAGCCAAAGATCGAAAAATGGGAAAATCCAAAATTGAAAAATTTAAACTTAAAAACCGGATAAATCGAAAAATTGGAATTTTCAAATATCCAAAAACTGAAAAATTAATTTCGAAAAATTGAAAAATCGAAAAATCTAAAAATGAGAAGAAAAAATCGAAAAACTGAGAAATCGAAACAGAAAAATGAAAAATCTAAAATTTAATAGGAATTCGAAAAATCGGAAATTCAAAAAATTGTAAAATAGAAAAATATAACATTTAAAAATTCGCAAAATTTTGAAAAATGGAATAAGTAAAAATAAAAAAAAAACAGAAGGTCGAAAAATTTAAAAATCGAAATAGGTACATACTGAAAAATCCCAAAATTGAAAAATCCTAAAAATTTAAACATTGAAAATTTGAAAATCGAAAAACTGAGAAATCGGGAAATCGGAAAGACGAAAAATCAAAAAATCTAAAAACGAAAATACCAAAAATCGAAAGACTGAGAAATCGAAACAACAAAAAAGTGAAAATTCTTAAATTTAAAAATTTCAAAAATTGAAAAATCAAAACATCAACGAATCGAAAATTCAAAAAACTGAAAAATCGAAAAATTTAACATTTAAAAAATCGCAAAATTTTAAAAAATCGAATAAGTAAAAAATCAAAAAAATCGAATAATTACTAATAACCTCGTTGCTGAAGCCCCGTTATAATCAGTAAATAAATATAAAAAAATCAAAATCGAAAAATTTAGAAATCGAAATACATATTGAAAAATCCCAAAACTTAAACATTGAAAATTCGAAAAACGAAAAATCGGAAAGTCGAAAAATGAAAAAACCCATTAATCGAGAAAGTGAGAAATCGAAAAATCCAAAAATTTAGAAACGCCAAACACTGAAACACTGAAAATTTGAATAATCTAAATACATAAATCCCAAAACGTCAATAAAATAAAAATCGAAAAGAGGAATTATCGAAAAACTGAAAAATCCAAGAATCGAAATCGAAAAATTGTAAAAAACGCGAAATCGAAACATCAAAAGATCGATAAGTCGAGAAGTCGAACAATTGAAAAATTGAGATATCGAAATAGCTAAAGATCGACAAATGGAAAAATTAAAATTGGAAAATTTAAACTTAAAAAACCGATAAATCGAAAAATTGGAGTATTCAAATATCGAAAACTTGGAATGAATCTTCAAATATCGAAAAACTGAAAAATTAATTTCGAAAAATTGAAAAATCGAGAAATCTAAAAATGAGAAGATAAAAAATCGAAAGACAGAAATCGAAACAATAAAAAAATGAAAAATTTAAAATTTAATAATTAAAAAAATGAGAATTTACAAAATCGAGAAATCAAAATATCAAGGAATCGAAAATTTAAAAAATTGAAAAATCGAAAAATGTGACATTTAAAAAATCGCAACATTTTGAAAAATCGAACAAATAAAAAATCAAGAAAACAAAGTCGAAAAACTTAAAAATTTAAAAACCGAAATGCATTTTGAAAAATTCCAAAATTGAAAAATTCCAAAACTTACACATTGAAAACTTGAAAATCGAAAAATTGAGAAGTCGAGAAATCAAAAGAAAAACCGAGAAATCGTAAAGCCCAAAATCGAAAAATCGGAAAATTAGAAATTGAAAAATGGAAAATTTTCAATTTACAAAAAAAAAGAGAATTCGAAAAATTAAAATCGAAAAACCGAGAAATCGTAAAGCCCAAAATCGAAAAATTGGAAAATCGAAAAATGTAAAATCTAAAATTTGAAAAATTCAAAAACCGAAAAATCATCAAAAAAATGAAAAATGGAATAAGCAAAAAATCAAGAAAACAGAAAGTCGAAAAATTTAAAAATCTAAATACATATTGAAAAATCCCAAAATTGAAAAGTCCCAAAACTTAAACATTGAAAATTTGAAAAATCGAAAAATTTAAATACATAAATCCCAAAACTGAAACGTCGAAAAATTGGAAACTCGAATATGTAATCAAAAAATTGGGAAGTCGAAAGATCGAAATCGAAAAATTGAAAAAACGTGAAATCGAAACAACAGAAGATCGAGAAGTCGAAAAATCGAAAAACTGAGATGTCGAAATAGCTAAAGATCGAAAATTGAAAAATTTGTTTCGAAAAATTGAAAAATCGAAAAATCTAAAAATGAGAAGACAAAAAATCGAAAGACAGAAATCGAAACAACAAAAAAATGAAAAATCTAAAATTTAATAATTCGAAAAATTGAAAATTTACAAAATCGATAAATCAAAACATCAAGCAATCGAAAATTCGCAAAATTTTGAAAAATCGAACAAGTAAAAAGTTAAGGAAACAAAGTCGAAAAATTAAAAAACTAAAATATCGAAAGACACATTGAAAAATTCCAAAACTTAAACATTGAAAATTTGAAAATCGAAAAATTGAGAAATCGAGAAATCGGAAAGACGAAAAATCTAAAAGTCGAAAAATTAAAAAATCCATTAATGGAAGAAATTGAAAAACCGAAAAATCAAAAAATTTAGAGACGCAAAAAATTGGAAAATCGAAAAATTGGGAAATCGAGAAATCGGGAAATCGAGAAATCGGAAAGACGAAAAATTGAAAAGTCGAAAAATTAAAAAATACATTAATGGAAGAAATTGAAAAATGGAAAAATCCAAAAATTTAGAGACTCAAAAAATTAAAAATTGAAAAATCGAAAAATGTAACATTTTAAAAATCGCAAAATTTTGAAAAATCGAATAAGTAAAAAATCAAGAAAACAAAGTCGAAAAATTTAAAAATTTAAAAATCAAAATACATACATATTGAAAAATCCCAAAACCGAAAAAACCCAAAACTTAAACATTGAAAATTTGGAAATCGAAAAATTGAGAAATCTAGAAATCGGAAAAACGAAAAGTCGAAAAATTGAAAAATCGAAAAATCGAAAAATTTAAATATATAAATCCCAAAACTGAAACGTCGAAAAACTGGAAACTTGAATAATTAAAAAGACGAATAATCAAAAGTAAAACCGAGAAATCGTAAAACCCAAAATTGAAAAATCGGAAAATTAGAAATTGAAAAATTGAAAAATTTCAATTTACAAAAAAAAATCGATAAATCGAGAAAACGAAAGAGCCCAAAATCGAAAATTTTAAAACTGAAAAAATGCAAAATTTAAAATAAAAAAAAAACGATAAATCGAAAGTCAAAAATTGACAAATCGAAATACTGAAGGTTTCTAAAATCGAAAAATACAAAAATTGAAACGCTCAAAAGTCGAAAATTAAAATCGAAAAAACCATCGAAAAATGGGAAAATCAGAAATTGAAAAATGTTAAATTTAAAATGACGAAAAATTGAAAAACAGAAAAGTCGCACTAGTCCAAATTTTATATATCAAAAAGTGAAAAATTGAAAAAATTTTAATTAAAAAAAATCCGATAATCGCGAAATCGAAAAGTCGAAAAATTGCAAAATCCTTTAATCGAGAAATTGAGAAATCCGAAAATCCAAAATTTAGAAACGCCATAAATTGAAAAATTGAAAATTCGAAAAATTGAAATCCATAAATCCCAAAATTGAATCGTTGAAAAACTGGAAAATTGAAAAATCGAAAAGATGAATTATTGAAAAACTGAGAAATCGAGAAATCGAAATTTAAAAAATGAAAAATCGCGAAGTCGAAACATCGAAAGATCGAGAAACCGAAAAATCGAAAAAATGGGATACCGAAATAAGTGAAGATCGAAAAATGGAAAAATTCAAAATTGAAAAATTTAAACTTGAAAAATTTAAACTTAAAAAACCCGATTAATCGGAAAATTGAAAAATTAGTTTTGAAAAATTGAAAAATCGAAAAATCGAAAAATGATAAGAGAAAAAATCGAAAGACAGAAATCGAAACAACAAAAAATTGAAAAATCCAAAAATATAACATTTAAAAAATCGCAAAATTTTGAAAAATCGAACAAGTAAAAATCAAGAAAACAGAAAGTCGAAAAATGTAAAAATTTAAAAATCGAAATACATATTGAAAAAGCCCAAAATCAAAGTGTCCCAAAACTTAAACATTGAAAATTTGAAAAATCGAAAAATTTAAATATCTACAGAAATCCCAAAACTGAAACGTCAAAAAATTAGAAACTCGAATAATCGAAAAGACGAATAATAAAAAAAAAACTGGGAAATCGAAAAATTGACATATCGAAATAGCCAAAGAAAAATGGGAGAATTTAAAATTGAAAAATTTAAACTTAAAAAACCCGATAAATCGAAAAATTGAAAAATCGAAAAACTGAAAAATTAATTTCGAAAAACTAAAAATGAGAAGACAAAAAATCGAAAGGCTGAGAAATCTAAACAACAACAAAAATTAAAAATCCAAAATTTAAAAAGTCGCAATACTTTAAAAATCGAATTAATAAAAAATCAAAAACAAGAAAAGTCGAAAAATCGAAAAATTTAGAAGTATATAAAAATCCCTAAATTGAAATATATACAAGATAAATGGAAGATAATTTTTGTATATTTCATTCCGAGCTTTCGTCCTGTTTTATTTTCAACTGAGTGTTTATGGAATTATGGCAACCCACAGAGACAAGGCGGAGGAGCTTAATACCCCTCGCTGCTGGATATTAATAATACTTTTACGTGCGATAGTACCATGATCTTATCAACCCATGGTACAAGAAGAAGTTAGCTAGGAAATGCAAGAACGTAAATAAGACAGAATTTGGAAATAAAGAAATTTTGAAAACCTATGACTTTAAACATAAAACATTTATTACGTGTGTATACCTTTAGAATCTCCTTAGTGTTCGTCCCATAGCACCTCCCATACTGAAACTTCAAGGTGGGACAGTGGCCCGTATACCTGTAATCAGAACTCCAGCACTATCAAGATAAATGTCAGTGCGTGTAACTCGCCGAAGCTATTAAGCACACCCCACCGGAGTTATCTATAATGCCAACCTGAAATACCCCGAAAGCGAACGGTACCAAGAGATTCCTAGCACGTTCCGGTTTCCTGAAAACTCCAACCCAGATAGGAATGTGCTTATCAACACACGTAAATAATTATCGCAATTGGGGCGCCACAGGTGACTCAGGAAGTGATAAGTTTAAAAATTTAACCACGAATGTAAACAGCGTTTACGTAAATACTTAATTTAATAGCACAGTGGCATAGCCACTATGCTATTAAACGAACATTCGCGAGATCATTGTGGATCGATTCGGTCTACATAGCCCGAAAAGAGCATTTATTGCCGTTCTTTAACCGATAAAACGGATCAATCAAGAGGAAAGTCTGCTATCTGAAACGAAATCGGAGAACGACGTCGATTCAGCAAGTCGTTTGTCATCAATCGTCATTCTCGAGTAAACAAGTTTGAAATTTGCCGCTTACAATTATATTAATGATTTATCAAGTGCGCGCTGGTTGCCATGGTAACTTTTTTTTCCAATTTTTTCCACGCCGGCTTGATTATACGTTGATAGTTAGTTGTTTGTAGGTGCTGGTTAAAATTGCTTATTTATTTATGCTACTAGAATCGTGACAATGCGCTACTGGTTACGCTGGATGGTTGTTTTGTTTACTTACCCGGGAATGAAGTTGTCGTGCGTTTGCGACAAGAAGTTCTTTTTTTCTTCTTTCGATAAACCATCGAACATTTTTCGGCACAATGTATTTTTTTTCTGTTTTGTTACATTGGTTGGTAGCGTGTTGACTGGAGCTTTGGTCGTACAAACGTGCGATAGGAGGAAACTCGAAACAATCGTACAACACTACAAACTACCGTCGATTCTGCGCTGCACCTCCATTCATTCATTGTGGGACTCGTAGAATCGTTGGGTGCATTTTTAATGGGATGGGTTGTTTACGTCACTATTTATTTATTTTGTATGTAGAACGGTGATTTTATTGGGATTATTTTTTCTGATATCTACTGAATTTTGATTTTTTTTTTGTGCGTTGTACTTAATAAGTAATAATATTGTGTATTTGGGTAAATTGTGTGTCATTGTTTTTCCCTCGCTTTTGAAGCACAACCAGTACCAGGTATAATTGTTGTTTGCGTTACCATGCATCATTTTATTTAATTGTTTCACGAGACTTCGAGATTCTTTCCAACTACTTCAAAAGCCAGACACAAGTAGTCCCCTAGATTTTTTCAAATAACCTCAAAAACAAGAAAAATCGCAAAATTTTAAAAATCGAAAAATTAAAAAAAAATTTTAAATCGACAATAAAAAATTTGTTAAACAGAAAAATTGAAAGTCGAAAAATCCATAGATTGAGCAATCGAAACATCAAAAAAATTCAAAAATCTAAAATTAAAAAAAGGGAAAAATTAAAATATAGCACCATTGAAAAAAATCCAGAAATAGAAAAATTCCCAAAATTGAGATATTTAAAATTGAGAATTCTAAAAGTCGAAAAATTTTTAAAATCGAAAAATCGAGTGTCGGAAAATGGAAACATTTAAAAATCGGAAAATGTAAAAAAGTAAAATTTAAAAAGCCAAAAAATCGAAAACTGAAGAAAAAAACGAGGAAAGGAGAAATTGAAAAATCTCAAAACTGGAACGTCGAAAAATTGGGAAATTTAAAAACTGAAAAATCGAAATATCGAAGAATTGTATAACCGAAAAATAAAAAATTGAAACGCTCAAAAGTCGAAAATTAAAATCGAAAAACCGAGAACTCGAGAAATCGAAAAGTCCAAAATTGAAAAATTTACAAAAGAAAAAATCGATAAATGGAAAAATCGAAAAATTTAAAAATTGAATAATTGGAAAATGGAAGAATGTTAAATTAAAAATTGAAAAATCCGAAAACTGAAAAATCAAAACAGCGGAAATATAGAAAATCGAAAAACCGAGAAGCGAACTAAGTCAATGAAAAAATTGAAAAATTTTATTCTAAAAAAAATTCGATCTATCAAGAAATTGAAAAATTCCAAAAGTGAAATGTCGAAAAATTGGGTAATCAAAAAATTGAAAAATCGAAACTTCTAAACATTGGGGGGAAGTCTGAAAGCCTAAAAGTCGAAAATTCGAAAATCGAAAAATTAGAAAGTCGAGATATCGCAATAGCCCAAAACCGAAAAATTAAAAACTGAAAAATTTGCAAAGTTGAAATTAAAAAAAAAACGATAAATCAAGAAATCGAAAAATTTTTAAAATTAAAATATTGAAAAAACGAACAATTGTTAAATCGAAAAACTGAAAATTGAAAGGTCGAAAAATTGGGAAGAAACATTGAAAAATCGAAACATCGAAATGTTGGGAAAGTGAAAAATATAGAACTCGAAAAGCCGAAAGGTCCAAAATTCTAAAATCGAAAAATTGGCAAAACGAGACCTCGAAAAATCGAAAAATCGATAAATTTAAAAATTAAAACATCGAGAAATTCAAAACATCTTAAGATCGTGAAATCGAAAAATCGAAAAAAATTCAAAAATCGAACAACTGGGAAATTGAAAAATTCCAAAACTGAAATGTCGGAAAAATAACTGAAAAAATTAAAACATGGACGAAAAACTGAGAAATCAAAAAGCCAAAAATTGAAAAAGTGAAACATTGACAATTCCAAAAACTGAAAAATCAAGGAACAGAGAAATCGAAAAATCTAAAATTAAAAAAAAGATAAATCAAACAACTGAAATATCGAAAAATCGAAAAATTGGAAAATCGAAAAACCGAAAAGTCGACCTAGCCAAAATTGAAAAATCTAAAATTTAAAAACTTAAAAATTAAAAAATCAAAAAATTGAGAAATCGAAAAATTAAAAACTCAAAGTTGAACCATTTAAAAATCGGAAAATGTAAAAAGTAAAATTTAAAAAGTCGAAAAATCGAAAACTGAAGAAAGAAACGAGGAAAGGACAAATCGCAAAATCTCAAACTTACAAAAATCAAAAAATGAAAAATCGAGAAATTGAGAAATCTTAAAACTGGAACGTCAAAAAATTGGGAAATTTAAAAACTGAAAAATGGAAACATCGAAGAATTGTAAAACCCAAAGATAGAAAATTGAAACGCTCAAAAATCGAAAATTAAAATCGAAAAATTGGGTAATCAAAAAATTGAAAAATCGAAACTTCTACACATTGGGAAGTCAAAAAACCTAAAAGTCGAAAATTCGAAAATCCAAAAAATTTAAAAATTGCGAAATCGAAGTAGCCCAAAACCGAAAAATTAAAAACTGAAAAATTTGCAAAATTGAAATAAAAAAAAAACGATAAATCAAGAAATCGAAAAATTTTTAAAATTTAAATATTGAAAAAACGAACTGAAAAATCGAAAAACTGAAAAGCCCAAAATTGAAATGTCGAAAAATAGGGAAAAAACATCGAAATATTGGGAAAGTGAAAAATATAGAAATGGAAAAGCCGAAAGGTCCAAAATTCTAAAATCGAGAAATTGGCAAAACGACACCTTGAAAAATCGAAATATCAATAAATTTAAAAATTTAAACATGGAGAAATTCAAAACATCTAAAGATCGTGTAACCGAAAAATCGAAAAACTGAAATGTCGAAAAAATAAAAAAAAATCGAAAAACCGAGAAATGGAAAAGCCAAAAATTGAAAACGTGAAACATTTCAATTTACGAAGATCTCGAAAAATTGAAAAACTGAGAAATTGGAAATGGAAATATGTTCAATTAAAAAAAAAAACGAAAAATTAAAAAATCCAAAAACTGAAAAATCAAGAAATCGAGAAATCGAAAAGTCGAAAATTAAAAAAAAACGATAAATCAAACAATTGAAAAATCGAAACATCGAGAAATTGGAAAATCGATAACCCGAAAAGTCGAACTACCATAAAATTGAAAAATTTAAACATTTCAATTTAAAATAAATCGATAAATCGAAAAATCTAAAATTTAAAAACTTAAAAATTAAAAAATCAAAAATTTGAGAAATCGAAAAATTGAAAAATCTCAAAACTGAAATATCGAAAAATTAAAATGGGAATTAAAAAAAATTGATAAATCGAAACATCGAAATATTGAAAAGGTGAAAAATATAGAAATCAAAAAGCCTAAAATTAAAAAATTCGAAAAATTGAAAAATTGGGAAAACGATAACTCGAAAAATTGAAAGATGTATCGATAAATTTAAAAACGAAATTCAAAACAACTTAAGATCGAGAAATCGAAAAATCGAAAAAAAATTAAAAATGGAACAACTGAGAAATTGAAAAATCCCAAAACTGAAATATCGAAAAAATAACTGAAAAATTGGAACATCCAAGAATTTTAAAATCGAAGGGCTCAACGTCGAAAATTAAAACCGAAAAATCGAGAAATGAAAAAGCCAAAAATTGAAAACGTGAAACATTTCAATTTACGAAGATCTCGAAAAATTGAAAAACTGAGAAATTGGAAATGGAAAAATGTTCAATTTAAAAAAAAAACGAAAAATTAAAAAATCCAAAAACTGAAAAATCAAGGAACCGAGAAATCGAAAAATCGAAAATTAAAAAAAACGATAAATTAAACAATTGAAAAATCGAAACATCGAGAAATTTGAGAAATCGAAAAATTGAAAAATCTCAAAACTGAAATATCGAAAAATTAAAATGGGAATTAAAAGATTGATAACTCGAAACATCGAAGTATTGGAAAAGTGAAAAATATAGAAATCAAAAAGCCTAAAAGTAAAAAATTCGAAAAATCGAAAAATTGGGAAAACGATAACTCGAAAAATTGAAACATGTATCGATAAATTTAAAAAGAAATTCAAAACTTCTAAAGATCGAGAAATCGAAAAATCGAAAAACTGAGACATTGAAAATTCGAAAATTGCGAATTAAAAATCGAAATATCGTCAAATTAGAAATTACAAAAAAAAATGATAAATCGAGAAATCGAAGAATATAAAAATCGAAACGCTCAAAAGTCGAAAAGTTGGATAATTAGAAATCGAAAAATCCAAACATCGAAAAATTGGAAAATCAGAAAACCGAAAAGTCGAACTAGCCCAAAATTTATGAATTAAAGATTGAAAAATTGAAAGATGTCTATTCTAGAAAATTCGATAATCGAGAAATCGAAAAATCTAAAAACTGAAAAAAAAAGCGATAAGTCGGAAAATCGAAAATTTAAAAAATCAAACAATTGAAAAATCAAAATATCCAAAAATTGTAAAATCGAAAACTGAAGAATAAAAAAAATCGGGAAAACGAGAATTCGCAAAATCTAAAATTTGAAAGAAAATTGGATCGTAAATTGAGAAATTGAAAAATCCTAAAACTGAAATGTCGAAAAATTGGAAAATTTATAAATTGTAAAATCGAAAAGCCCAGAAATCGAAGTATCGAGAAATCAAAAAGGTCAAAATCGAAAAATCAAAAAAAATTCGAAATTGGAAAATTTGAAAAATATCAATTTACAAAAAAAATTCGGCAATTCGAGAAATCGAAAAATTTAAAAACTGAAAAATTTGAAAATGGATGAATTTAAAAAAACGAAAATTTGAAAAATTCAAAAACTGAAAAATCAAAGAAACGGAAAATGGAAAATCTAACATTTAAAAAAATCAAACACTTGAAAAATCGAAACATCGGAAAATTAGAGAATCGAAAAACCGAGAAGTCGAATTAGCTCAAAGTTGATAAATTAGAAATTGAAAAATTGAAATTTTTCTTTAAAAAAATTGGATAAATTCGGACATTCAACAATCCAAAAACTGAAAAATTAAAAAAAAAAACGAGAAATGAAAAATCTAAAAATTGAGAAATCGAAAAATTTAAAAACTGAAAAATCGGAACATCGAAGAATTGTAAAATCGAAAAATTCGGAAATCAAAAAATTGCAAAATCCAAAAACTGAAATGTCGGAAAATTGGGAAATCAAAAAATTGAAAAATCGAAAAAATTAAAAATTGAGAAATGGAAACATGTAATATTCGAAAAGCCTAAAAGGCGAACATCGAAAAAATGAAAAAACGGAAAACGAGAAATCGAAATAGCCCAAAATGGAAAAATTTGAAACTGAAAAAATGGGAAATTTAAATAAAAAAACGCTAAATCGAGAAATTCAAAATTTTAAAAATTGAAAAATCGAAACACCGAAGATTTGTAAAATCGAAAAATATAAAAATCGAAACGCTCAAAAGTCTAAAATTAAAATCGAAAAATTTGAACTTGAACAATTGAAAAATTTCACATTTACGAAAAAATTGATAATTCGAGAAATCGAAAAATTTAAAAACTGAAAATTCGAAACATCAAAGAACTGTAACATCGAAAAATTTAAAAATAGAAATGTCGTAAATGTAGAATTAAAAAAAATTTAAAATTTGAAAAATTGAAAAACTGAAGAATCGAAAAATTAAAAAACCCTAAAACTGAAATGTCGAAAAATCAAAATAGCAATAAATGTAAAAATTGAAACATCGAGAAATCGAAACATCTAAAGATCGAGTAATCAAAAAATTGAGGAAAAATTGAAGAATCGAAAAAGTGAAAAATTCCAAAACTGAAAATTAGAAAAACTGAGGAATCGAAAAATTGTAAAATCGATAAATCGAATATCTAGTTAAAAAATCGAAAAATTGAAAAACTCAAAAACCCGAAAAATGGAGAAATTATAAAGTCGAAAAATTGACGAGATGTGAACATAAAAAATTGAAAAATGGAGAAATCAAGAAGTCGAGAAATCGAAACATTGAAAAGTCAACAAATCGAAAAATAGAAAGTTTAGAAACCCTAAAATATCGGAAAATCGAATAATCAAAAGAAATCGAGAAATAGAAAATTTGAATAATCGAAAAATTGAAAAATTTCAAAACTGAAATATAGAAAAATTAAGAAACCGACTCTTGATGAAAGAAGGGATAAGTTTTAATTAATTCATAAATGAACACAAAAAACATCGTCACCTTTGGAGTTGTACCCTTGGAACCAGTTTTTACAGAACTTGTGCAGTAACCAGTCTTTTATTAAACCAATTACCCAGTTTACGCACCTCCCTGACACAGCTAGATTATTTAAGTCAGCTTAAGTATTACTCTTGGAACCAGTTTTTGTAGAACTCGTATGGTAATCAGTATTTTATTAAACGACAACAAAACAGAATATTGTTAAAATGCCTCCTTGCCTCGCCAGTGTAACCAAAATCTATGCAACACACCCAAAATTGAAAAAACAAGACGTGGACACAATTTTCGATTGGCTGAAAACGCAACCCCACTTACCGGAACTGAAAGGCAAACTCAAAAACCTTCCATAGAAACAAATACTCATCCACTAGTTTTTTTTTTTCAGAACTTCAAGTGATTTTATTTCTTCACAGCTGCAATTATGAAACATCCCAAACTAAAACCACCATCGAGAATTATTTCACACTTCGAACAAGCTCGGACCTTTTTCAGAGCGCTGACGAAGACATAGTCAGAAGAGTATTATCTACTGCGTAATTCAAAATCGTCGCAAAAATCGAGATTAATTTTTTTGTAGATTTTTAGATATTTTTCCAAAAAAAACTCCAGAGGGGTATGTAGTTTTCTTACTGGGGTTGCTGAACCCCAACCCTGAGAAATTCAACTGTAACGAAACTCTCAAAGTGGCTATTATGGTCCTGTGCTTGTATTTTCACCAATACGGTCCTGCAAACGGGTTGGTGCTTTTAGTAGATTTGAGAAACACGACTTTTGGCCATTTGTTTCGGATGAATGTCAGTGCAATGAGGGGGTTTGCGAATTTTTTGCAGGTATAATTAGGAGAATGGAAATTTTTAGGTTAGGGTTTTCATAAATGATGCTAATGGTAACATTCAAGTGTGTTCCGCCTCGCTGACAGTGTGTAACCATCTCCATGGCAACGACAGTTTAAATGTCATATTTACTGATAATTCTGATTTTAAAGCGAAGAAGTGGCAAATTTATGAAAGCTCTCTATAAAGGTGATAAATGTCAATTTGAAGATATGTTTTTTCAGGATTCGGCGCCAACAAGGCTGAAGGGAATACATTACGTTAATACCGTTCCTGTCACTAGACACTTTATTACACTAGGGAAGCAATTTTTGAAGAAGGAAATTCACGAAATGGTAACAATGCGGGGGTTATAAATTTTTGAAGCCTGTTTTTTTTGTAATATTAATAGATTAAATCCCACACTGCACTAGATTCGTTGTACGAATATATTCCAAAAGATTGCTTACCGGAAGAATATGGTGGCATCGTTGAACCACGGTTGAAACTTCATGGTAAAATATACGCATTTTTTCCAAGTAAAATGTACTATAATATCATTTTGTAGAAGAAAATTTAGAAAATCTTTTAAAAAACTTGGATTTTTTTAAGTGGCACGATAGTCAAAAAGTGGACGAAAGTAAACGGATTCGGAAGACGCATAGATGGTTTTTTAGAATGTAGTAGTTAAAATCTCAACACATTTTATGTAGAACTAATGATACAATGTACACAAAATCCTCATAAATTATATACACCTAAATTTATTTATCCTTTTCAACGTTAATCAAAATTTATCTGATAAATTATGAACTAAATTTATTTGTTCCTCTCTTTCCAAAAATCAGATGATGTCATCTCAAAATTTTCGAATTTTCGATTCCTTGATTTCTTTGTTTTTCGATTTTTCAATTTTTCAAATTTTGACGTTTCGAAATTTTCAGTTTTCCGATTCCTGAATCTTTTTTTTTTCTTTCCCATTTCTCGATTTTCCAAAGGTTCGATTTTTCACTTCAATTTTTGAATTTTTCGATTTTTCAGGTTTTTGATTTTTGATTTTTTCGATTTTTTAATTTTTGGATATTTCTTTCAGTTTTGGATTTTTCAATATTTCGATTTTTGGACTCCTGGATTTTTTGATTTCTGGATTTTTTACTTTTTGGATTTTCAATTTTTCGTCAAATTTTCAAAATTTTTAAATTTTCGATTTTCAAATTTTTAGATTTTTCAATTTTATGATTTATCGAATTCAAAGGTTTCGATGTTTCGATTATTCAATCTCTCGATTCATCAATTTTTCAATTTTTAACTTTTTCTCTAATTTTTCGATTTCTCGATGTCTCATTTTTTGAATTTTTCGATGTTTCGATTTTTCAGTTATCCGATTTTTCAATTTTTTAAATTCTGAAGTTTCGATTTCTCGATTTTTCAGTTTTTCCATTTTTAATTTTTAGATTTTCGAATTTTTATTTTTTGATTTTTTGATGTTTGGATTCCTTGATTTTTGAATTTTACGATATTTATTTTTCACTTTTTCGGTGTTTGTATTTTTCAGTTTTTCGATTTCTCAATTAATTTATTTTTGATTTTTCCATTTCTGGACTTCTCTAAGTTTCGATTTTTCAATTTTTCGATTTTTTAATTTTTGGATATTTCTTTCAGTTTTGGATTTTTCAATATTTCGATTTTTCGATTTTTGGACTCCTGGATTTTTTGATTTCTGGATTTTTTACTTTTTGGATTTTCAATTTTTCGTCAAATTTTCAAAATTTTTAAATTTTCGATTTTCAAATTTTTCGATTTTTCAATTTTATGATTTATCGAATTCAGAGGTTTCGATGTTTCGATTGTTCAATCTCTCGATTCATTAATTTTTCAATTTTTAACGTTTTCTCTAATTTTTCGATTTCTCGATGTTTCATTTTTTGAATTTTTCGATGTTTCGATTTTTCAGTTATCCGATTTTTCGATTTTTTAAATTCTGGAGTTTCGATTTCTCGATTTTTCAGTTTTTCCATTTTTAAATTTTAGATTTTCGAATTTTTATTTTCTGATTTTTTGATGTTTGGATTCCTCGATTTTTGAATTTTACGATATTTATTTTTCACTTTTTCGGTGTTTGTATTTTTCAGTTTTTCGATTTCTCAATTAATTTATTTTTGATTTTTCCATTTCTGGACTTCTCTAAGTTTCGATTTTTCAATTTTTCGATTTTTTAATTTTTGGATATTTCTTTCAGTTTTGGATTTTTCAATATTTCGATTTTTCGATTTTTGGACTCCTGGATTTTTTGATTTCTGGATTTTTTACTTTTTGGATTTTCAATTTTTCGTCAAATTTTCAAAATTTTTAAATTTTCGATTTTCAAATTTTTCGATTTTTCAATTTTATGGTTTATCGAATTCAGAGGTTTCGATGTTTCGATTGTTCAATCTCTCGATTCATCAATTTTTCAATTTTTAACTTTTTCTCTAATTTTTCGATTTCTCGATGTCTCATTTTTTGAATTTTTCGATGTTTCGATTTTTCAGTTATCCGATTTTTCGATTTTTTAAATTCTGGAGTTTCGATTTCTTGATTTTTCAATTTTTCCATTTTTAAATTTTAGATTTTCGAATTTTTATTTTCTGATTTTTTGACGTTTGGATTCCTCGATTTTTGAATTTTACGATATTTATTTTTCACTTTTTCGGTGTTTGTATTTTTCAGTTTTTCGATTTCTCAATTAATTTATTTTTGATTTTTCCATTTCTGGACTTCTCTAAGTTTCGATTTTTCAGTTTTTAGATTTCTCAATTTTCCAATTTTTTAATCGACGAGTTTTTGAATTTTTATTTTTCTGATTTTTACTTCCCGAGCGTAAGCAAAGGAAGTATTGTAATCGAGTCCGTCGGCCGACTCTCTACTTTTACGTTTTCTCGATCTTTCATGACCCCTAGAAGACGAAGAAATAGGTCTCCCATTTCCGTCTGTCTGTCCGTCCGTCTGTCCGTCCGTCTGTCCGTCCGTCTGTCCGTCCGTCTGTCCGTCCGTCTGTCCGTCCGTCTGTCCGTCCGTCTGTCCGTCCGTCTGTCCGTCCGTCTGTCCGTCCGTCTGTCCGTCCGTCTGTCCGTCTGTTGTCCCGGATTTTTATTAGACAGATAATCTCCGAAAGTACTCGACCGATTGTTGTGAAATTTTGTACTTATATTAAGAATATCATGTAGATGGTAAAACGCTAACCAAAATTTGTCTAATCATCCCCACCACTAAAGCGATGACGTCACTTCAAAATTGTACATAGTAAATGGGTTTTCAATTGTATAAAATAACATAGTCCTACACATGTAGTTTACAACTCTGAATCGACTTTTCACCCGAAACGTCCAGATTTTTGGAAAAAAAATCAAAATTATAAAACAACATTTTGAAATTTAATTTTTAATCTGCTAACCAGAATGCTTTGAAATGTTGCAGATGTTTTAAGGCTATAAAGACCATCATAAATCTTTAGTCAAAAAATATTTGCTTATCCCCTCCAAAAACTTGATGACGTCAGCTCAAAAGTTTGTGGAATAAATCATATCTAAAATGTACAAAATATGATGAGTCTGTACTTGTGATCTATCACTCCATTCATATTTTTTGGATTTGCATATACAGGGTGACTCAAAAAAATTAATGAATGCGTAAATATATTTTATTGATTTAATCAGGAACTACAAAACGGAATGCTCTGACATCTTGCAGATGTTTTAAGGTCATAAAGAGCATAATAAATGTTTAGTCAAAATATATTTGCTTATCCCCTCCAAAAACTTGATGACGTCAGCTCGAAAGTTTGCCGAATAAATCATATCTAAAATGTACAAAATATGATGAGCCTGGACTTGTCATTTATCACTCCATTCATATTTTTTGGATTTGCATATACAGAGTGACTCAAAAAAATTAATGAATGCGTAAATATATTTTATTGATTTAATCAGGAACTACAAAACGGAATGCTCTGACATCTTGCAGATGTTTTAAGGTTATAAAGAGCATAATAAATGTTTAGTCAAAATATATTTGCTTATCCCCTCCAAAAACTTGATGACGTCAGCTCGAAAATTTGCCGAATAAATCCTATCTAGAGTATACAAAATATGATGAGTCTGTACTTGTAATTTATCATTCCATTCATATTTTTTGAATTTGCATATACCGGGTGACTCAAAAAAAAATGAAATCTACTGCGAAAAAAGAAACATAATAGACATGCAGTCGTCACGTTTCCGACAGCGAGGGAAGTACTGTCTAAACTCTTTAGACCAATTTTTTGATATTTAGATTTCTCCATTTTACTTTAATTTTTCGACTTTTCGATTTTTCAGTTCTTCAATATTTTTAAATTTTTCAAATTTTGACGTTTCTGAATTTTCAGTTTTCCGATTTCTCGATTAATCTATTTTTTGATTTTCTCGTTTCTCGACTCCCAAAGTTTCGATCATTCAGTTCTTGATTTCTTCAATTTTTTGACTTTACATTTTTGAGTTTTCAATTTCTCAATTCTTCAATTTTTTAACTTCCCAATTTTTGAATTTTTCGTTAAATTTAGTGATTTTTCTTGTATTTTTAAATTTTTCGAGTTCTGGATTTTTCGATTTTTTGATTTTAATTTTTTAGATTTTCAGTTTTTCGTTTTTAACTTTTCGATTTCGTGAATTCGTGAAACCCGAAACCTGAAGTCTGAAATCTGAAATCTAAAATCTGAAATATGAAATTTAAAATTTGAAATGTGGAATATGAAAATTTCGTCAAAAATTGTCGTAATTCGAATAGACTTTAATTTCAGAAAGCGATTCTGGAAAAACGGTTGTAGTTAATTTTTCCACCTTTTCTCGATTTTTCGACTTTCCATTACCTACTTAATTTTTCGATATTTCAGGGTTTTTCTATTTTTCAATTCAAAATGTGAAATGTGAAATATGAAACCTGAAATTGGAAACTTGAAACTTGAAATTGTGAATTCGTGAATTCTTGAATTCCTGAATTCTTGAATTTCTAAACTCTTGAATTCCTGAATTCTTGAATTCTTGAATTCGCGAATTCTTGAATTCCTGAATTCGTGAAATCGTGAATTCTGAAATCTGAAATATCAAACCTTAATCTTGAAACCTGAAACCGGAAACTTGACATTTGAAATTTAAAACTTGAAACTTGAGACTTGAGACTTGAGACTTGAGCCCTTGACACTTGACACTTGAAATTTGAGGCTTCAAATTGTGAATTTGTGAATACGTGAAATGTGAAATGTGAAACCTGAAATTTGAAACTTGAGACTTGAAACCTTGACACTTGACACTTGAAATTTGAGACTTGAAATTGTGAATTTGTGAATTCGTGAAATCTGAAACCTTAAACCTGAAATTTGAAACTTGAAACTTAAAATTGTGAATTCATGAGTTCTTGGATTCGTGAATTCTGAAATATGAAACCTTAAACCTGAAATCTGTAACCTGAAACTTGACATTTGAAACTTGACATTTGACGCTTGAGACTTGAGACCTTGAGACTTGACACTTTTACACTTGATTTTTTTGATTTTTTGATGTTTAGATTTCTCCATTTTTCAATTTTACGATATTTTAATTTTTCAAAGTTTAAAATTTTAAATTTTTCGACTTTTCGATTTTTTAGTTCTTCAATATTTTTTAATTTTTCAAATTTTGACGTTTCTGAATTTTCAGTTTTACCGATTCCTCAATTAATCTATTTTTTGATTTTCCCGTTTCTCGACTTCCCAAAGTTTCGATCTTCCAGTCCTTCAGTTCAATTTTTAGACTTTACTTTTTTTGACTTCAATTTCTCAATTTTTCAATTATTAATTTCCCAGTTTTTGGATATTTCGTTAAATTTTGCGATTTGCCAATTTTTCGATTCTTCAATTTTTCTTGTATTTTTCAATTTTTCGAGTTCTGGATTTTTCGATTTTTTGATTTTTTTTTAGATTTTTAGTTTTTCGTTTTTTAACCTTTAGATTTCGTGAATTCGTGAATTCGTGAAATCTGAAATCTGAAAGCTGAAATCTAAAATTTGAAACCTGAAACTTGAATCTTGTAACTTGAAGCTTGAGACTTGAGACTTGAGACCATGACACTTGACACTTGAGATTTGAGACTTGAAATTGTGAATTTGTGAAATCTGAAACCTTAAACCTGAAACTTGAAACTTGAAACTTGACACTTGAAATTTGAAACTTGAGACTTAAGACTTGAGAGTCGAGACCTTGAGACTTGACACTTGACACTTGATTTTTTGAATTTTTATTTTTTTTGATTTTTTGATGTTTAGATTTCTCCATTTTTCAATTTTACGATATTTTAATTTTTCAAAATTTTAAATTTTAAATTTTAAATTTTAAATTTTTCGACTTTTCGATTTTTCAGTTCTTCAATATTTTTGAATTTTTCAAATTTTGACGTTCCTGAATTTTCAGTTTTCCGATTCCCCAATTAAACTATTTTTTGATTTACACGTTTCGCCACTTCCCACAGTTTCGATCTTTCAGTTCTTCAGCTCATTTTTTCGATTTTACTTTTTTTGACTTTTCGATTTCTCAATTTTTCAATTTTTAATTTCCCAATTTTTGGATATTTGGTTAAATTTTGTGATTTTTCAATTTTTCGATTCTTCAATTTTCCTTGTATTTTTCAATTTTTCGGTTTTGGATTGTTCGATTTTTTGATTTTTATTTTTTAGAATTTTAGTTTTTCGTTTTTTAACTTTTAGATTTCGTGAATTCGTAAAATCTAAAATCTGAAAGCTGAAATCTGAAATTTGAAATCTGAAAGTTGAAACTTGGAAGCTTGAAGTTTGAAACTTGAAACTTGAAACTTTTAATTTTGAAACTTGAAAGTTTTAATTTTGAAACTTGACTCTTGAAATGTGAAATCTGAAATTTGAAATATGAAATTTGAAATATGAAATTTGAAATATGAAATTTGAAATATGAAATTTGAAATATGAAATTTGAAATATGAAATTTGAAATATGAAATTTGAAATATGAAATTTGAAATATGAAATTTGAAATATGAAATTTGAAATATGAAATTTGAAATATGAAATTTGAAATATGAAATTTGAAATATGAAATTTGAAATATGAAATTTGAAATATGAAATTTGAAATATGAAATTTGAAATATGAAATTTGAAATATGAAATTTGAAATATGAAATTTGAAATATGAAATTTGAAATATGAAATTTGAAATATGAAATTTGAAATATGAAATTTGAAATATGAAATTTGAAATATGAAATTTGAAATATGAAATTTGAAATATGAAATTTGAAATATGAAATTTTAAATTTGAAGTTTGAAGTTTGAAATTTAAAATTTGAAATTTGGAATTTGAAAATTTCGTCAAAAATTGGTCGGAATTTCCAGATTTTTATCTCAAAAGGTGGTTTTGGAAAAACGGTTGGAGTTATCCAAGAGATGAGGTCGAAAGTGACTTCTGCGGCTCGGAATCTACTAGAAAAATAATGTATTTAATAAAATTTCGAAAATTTAGCGGAAAATTTTATTAGTTCGATTTTTCGATATTTCAGGGTTTTTCTATTTTTCAATTCGAAATTTGAAATTTGAGTTTTTACTTTTTGGCTTTTCGATGTTTCGATTTTTGAATTATCCGATTTTTCAATTTTCCAATTTTTTTAATTGTCGAGTTTCGATCTCTCGATTTGTAGATTTTTTGACTTTTCGATTTTTCAGTTCTTCAATATTTTTTAATTTTTCAAATATTGACATTTCTGAATTTTCGGTTTTCCGATTTTTCAATTAATCTATTTTTTGATTTTCCCGTTTCTCGATTTTCCAAAGTTTCGATCTTTCACTTCTTCAGTTCTTCGAATTGTTTTACACTATGTAGTGATAATAAATAATCAATAAAATGTGTTTATTAAAAAAAAAATACATATACAGGCCCTAAAATATTCCAGGCGTGTTTTTTCTCTTCATGTCAGTCAAAAATAAAACCTCCTATTTTCCGAAAAAATGCAAATTTCCAAAAAATCCTCTTTCTTTCACCGCCCTTTTCGTTTCATCAACCCTTTGACCATCATGCCACTCAAAAAAATCGTGTTGTTCGACAACATTCTCCACATTCTTGTCTAAAATTGTATTTAAAGAATTCACTTTGTGTTATTTTAGTCGTACCGTGTAGTTCCATCATGGGTCCAAGTTCTCCACCGTACTCTTCTGGTAGACACTCTTTCGGAATATATCCATACAAAGATTCTTTATAACGAGTGTGGATTATCATCTATAAATAAACAAATACCAGCTTATAAAATTGCAAATTCTGTATTATTTACCGATTCCGCAATTTCCCTCTTCATAAAAGGCTTCGCCAAAGCTATCAAGGGCTTAAGCACCGGTACTGCGTTAATGTAGTGGATGTTTCTGAGCCTCGTAGGCGCCGCTTCCTGTAAAAACTGAAGAACTTGCCTGACTGCTGTCAAACTCATCTTAAACAAGTGTCCGAAACCGGTTCCCTCAGAATCGTATAGTATGACAAGTCCGTTTGATAAACCATTCTGGTGACAATTTAAGCATACGACCATTATCAACATTTTGATTACTTCGTCACACACGAACTTATCGGGACTCGAGTCCAATATTTTAACCAACAGAACAACAAACCCCTCTGGTGTTTGTTTCGGCAGGATTCCTATAAAACTGAACGAAAAAATCAAGTGAAAGTTTGACTATTATAGAAGTATAGCGTTACAAAGAGGAGAAAACTCGTCGGATTTGCTCTTCGTTGCCGCTTTGAAACAAACTCGAGCTCGTTCGAAGGATGAAGTAATTCTCGATGGTGGTTTTGGTGGCTTCGGTTTCGTGGTAGCAGCTATGGAGGAACAAAATTATCTGGAATTCTGAAAATTTGGTGATTTTGGTTTTGTTGTGGTTTTTGAGTTACCTGTTAGGTGTGGTAGGTGGGGTTGTGTTTGTAGCCATGTAAATATGGTGTCTACGTCTTGTTTTTTGAGGGTTGGGTTTTCGGTGTAGATTTGTGAGATGGTGGGCGAGTTTGGAAGCATTTTTTTCCCACTGGTGGTGACACTGTATACGTACCTCCTGGTTAAAAGGGCAATCAGTTTAATGTGTTTCTGCTAATACCTAGTTTGCGTTGACGTTAAAACTTTGAACGTGGATGGTATCTCACTCTTTCACATTCACCTAAATATAAACTTGTTATTGCGAAAGAGTTTATCATGATTTAATGATTTTTATTCGTGTTAATACTTAAGGTGACCTCGAAATGTTGCATATTTTATTAAACGGTTTTTAATCGGAGATGTATTTTATTTATATTTATTTTTAATTTTGTTTTGTGTCTGTTTTTTTTCATTTAAAATTACGCGAATATGCTTTTCAGCGTTTTCTTTTCTTTATAATAATGGTAGATTTCTAAAAACAGCAGTATATACCGGGTGTTTGGAAAATGGCGGATTAACTCTTCAGAAAATTGAGGGCTGGTGGGCGAGACTCTCTTTTTTATAGAGTATGCCATTTGCCAAAATCAGTTTTATCTTAGCAGCTACTAGCCCCACCCACCCACCCTCTCTTTTCTTAGAAGGTATCTCATTCGCCAAAGTCGGTTTTATCTTAGCAGCTACTAGATAGGATAAGACTGATTTTGGCAAATGACATACCCTCTAAGAAAAGAGAGGGTGAGTGGGCGGGGCTAGTATCTCTTAGGATAAGACTGATTTTGGCAAATGAAATTCCTCTAAGAAAATAGAGGGCGGGTGGGCCGGGTTTAGTATAATAATAACGCAGTTTAACCATTTTTTTGAAAAAATTTTGAAAATTTTGAGTTTATTTTTCACTTTTATTTGAATAAATGTCACGATGGCGATTTCTGATTCGTAATTCGCCAAAGATTATATACAATTTGACACCAACTTTCGATCGATTGAACTCATTTTAACAATTTTTTTGGTTAAATTTTGAAAATTTTGAATACACTTTTTACGATTATTCGAATAGACCTTACGACGGCGATTTCGGATTTTTAATTAGCGGGAGATTATCTACAACTTGACGCCAATTTTCGATCGTTTGAAGTCATTTCAACCATTTTTTGGAAAAATTTAAGAAATTTTGACTTCACTTTTCACGTTTATTTGAACAGATGTGACGACGGCGATTTCGGATTTATAATTAGCAAAAGGCTACCCACAATTTGACAATAATTTTAGATAGATTGAACCCATTTCAACGATTTTTTTTGGAAAAATTTTGAAAATTTTGAATTCCATTGAATAGATGTCACGAGAGCTATTTCGGATTCGTAATTAGCAAGAGATTACCTACAATTTGCCACCAATTTTCAATGGATTGAACCCATTTTAATAACTTTGTGTTTATTTTTCACCTTTATTTGAATTGATGTCACAACGGCAATTTCGGATTCGTAATTAGCGAAAGATTATCTACAATTTGATACCAATTTTGGGTCGATTGAACCCAATGTAACCATTTTTTTTGAAAATTTGGGAAATTTTGAATTTAGTTTTCACGTCTATTAGTATTTACGTCACGATGGCGATTTTGGATTCGTATTTAGCAAAAGATTATCTACAATTTGCTACCAATTTTCGATCGACTGAACTTATTTTAAGCATCTTTTGGAAAAATTTGGAAAATTGTGAATCCACGTTTCACGTTTATTTGAATAGATGTCCAATGGCAATTTCAGACTCGTAATTAGCGAAAGATTATCTACAATTTGACACCAATTTTGGATCGATTAAACCTATTTTAAGATTTTTTTGGAAAGATTTTGAAAACTTTTGAATTCACTTTTCACGTTTATTTGAATAGATGTGGTGACGGCAATTTCGGATTCGTAATTAGCGAAAGATTATCTGCAATTTGACACTAATTTTTGATCGGTTGAACACATTTTACAATTAATTTTTTCGTTTAATTGAATAGATGTCACGACGGCGATTTCGGATTCGTAATTAGCGAAAGATTATCTACAATTTGCCGCCAATTTTCGATCGACTGAACTAATTTTAACAATTTTTTTGGAAAAATTTTGAAAATATTGTATTCACTTTTCAGGTTTATTTGAATAGAAATCACGAAGGCGATTTCGGATTTGTTAGCCAAAGATTATCTACAATTTGACACGAATTTTCGATCGATTGAATCCATTTTAACTTTTTTTGGAAAAATTTTGAAAATATTGGTTTCATTTGTCACGTTTAATTGAATAGATGTCACGACGGCGATTCCGGATTCGTAATTAGCAATAGATTATCTACAATTTGATACCAATTTTTGAACGAATGAACACATTTTAACAATTTTTTTTGAAAAATTTTGAAAATTTTGAATTCAATTTTCACGTTTATTTGAAACGATGTCACCACGACGATTTCGGATTCGTAGTTTGCGAAAGATTTTCTACAATTTGGCACCAATTTACGATGGATTGAACTTATTTTAACATTTTTTTGGAAAAATTTTGAAAATTTTGAGTTCACGTTTCACGTTTATTTGAATAAATGCGGTGACGGCGATTTCAGATTCGTAATTAGCGAAAGATTATTTATCTGCAATTTGAGATCAATTTTTGATCGATTGAACCCATTGTAACCATTTTTTTGCAAATATTTTGGATAGTTTGAATTCACTTTTCACGTTTATTTGAATATATATGGTGACGATGATTTCGGTTTCGTAATGAGCGAAAGATCGTTTTCAATTTGACACCAAATTTGGTTCGATTGATCTTATTTTAACCATTTTTTTTTAAATTTTGAAAATATTGAATTCGCTTGTCACCTTAATTTGGATAGATGTCACAACGCCGATTTTGGATTCGTAATTACCGAAAGGTTACCTACAATTTCACACCAATTTTCGGTCGATTGAATCATTTTAACAATGTTTTGGAAACATTTTGAAAATTTTGAGTTCAATTGTCACGTTTATTTGAATAGACATCACGGCTATTTTGTATTTATAATTAGCGAAAGATCATCTACAATTTAACACCAATTTTCAAGCGATTGAACGTAGTTGAACCATTTTTTGGAAAATTTTGAAAATTTTGGGTTCACTTTTCAAGTTCATTTGAATAGATGTGGTGACGGCGATTTCGGATTCTTAATTAGCGAAAGATTATCTACAATTTGGCACCAATTTTCGATGGATTGAACCCATTTTAATGATTTTTTTGGAAAAATTTTGGAAATTTTGAATTCATTTTTCACGTTTATTTGAATAGAAATCACGCCGGTGATTTCGGATTAGTAGTTAACCAAAGACTATCTACAATTTGGCACCAATTTTCGGTCGACAGAACCTATTTTACTATTTTTTTTTTGGGGAAAAATTTAGAAAATTTTGGAATTCAATTTTCACGTTTATTTGAATAGAAATCACGCCGGCAATTTCGGATTCGTAATTAGCGAAAGATTATCTACAATTTGGCACCAATTTTCGATCGATTGAACTTATTTTACTTTTTTTTTGGATTTTTTTTAAAATTTTGAAATCAATTTTCACGTTTATTTGAATAGATGCGAAGACGCCGATTTCGGATTCGTAATTACCGAAAGATCATTTACAATCTGACCCCAATTTTCGATCGATTGAACTTATTTGAATTATTTGTTTGGAAAATTTTGAAAATTTTGAGTACATTTTTCACATTTATTTCAATAGATGTCAAGACAGTGATTTCGGATTCGTAATTAGCGAAAAGTTATCTACAATTTGACACCAATTTTCGATCGACTGAATCATTTTAACAATTTTTTTGGAAAATTTTTGAAAATTTTGAATTCACTTTTCACGTTAATTTGAATAGATGTGGTGACGGCGATTTAAGATTCGTAATTAACGAAAGATGATCTGCAATTTGACTCCAATTTTTGGTTGATTGAACCCATTGTAACCATTTTTTTGGAAAAATTTTGAAAAGTTTGAATTCACTTTTCACGTTTATTTGAATAGACGTCCCGGCAGTGAGGTCGGATTAGTAATTAGCGAAAAATTATCTATAATTTGACACCAATTTTCGATCGACTGAATCATTTTAACAATTTTTTTGGAAAAATTTTGAAAATTTTGAGTACATTTTTCACATTTATTTGAATAGATGTCAAGACAGTGATTTCGGATTCGTAATTAGCCAAAGATTACCTACAATTTGACACCAATTTTGGGTCGATTGAACCCATTTTAACCATTTTTTTGAAAATTTTTGGGAATTTTGAATTTGGTTTTTACGTCTATTAGAATCTGTCACAATGGCGATTTTGGATTCGTAATTAGCGAAAGATTATCTACGATTTGACACATTTTCGATCGATTGAACTCATTTTAATAACTTTTTTGGAAAAATTTTGAAAATTTTGAATTCACTTGTTACGTTTATTTGAATAGAAATTACGACGGCGATTTCGGATTTGTAATTAGCGAAAAATTAACTACAATTTGAAACCAATTTTCGATAGATTGAACTCATTTTAATATCTTTGTTGGAAAAATTTTGAAAATTTTGAGTGTACTTTTCACATTTATTCGAATATATGTGGTGACGACGATTTCGGTTTCGTAATTAGCAAAAATCATGTTCAATTTGAGACCAACTTTGGTTGGATTGAACTTATTTTAACCATTTTTTTGGAAATATTTTGAAAATTTTGAATTCACTTTTCATGTTTATTTGAATAGATGTCACGACGGTGATTTCGGATTAGTAATTAGTGAATGATTGTCTACAGTTTGACACCGATTGTCGATCAATTAAAGCCATTTTATCATTTTTTTGGAAAAAAAATTAAATATTTTGAATTCACTTTTCACGTTTTTTTAAATAGATGTCGTAAAGGCGATTGCGGATTAGTAATTAGGGAAAGATTATCTACAATTCGACACCAATTTTCGATAGACTGAACCAATTTGACATTTTTTTTGGAAAAATTTTGAAAATTTTGAACTCAATTTTTACGTTTATTTGAATAGATATCAAGACAGTGATTTCGGATTAGTAATTAGCGAAAGATTATCTGCAATTTGACACAAATTTTCGATCCATTGAACTCATTTTAACCATTTGTTTGGAAAAATTTTGAAAATTTTGAATTCATTTTTCACGTTTATTTGAATAGAAATCACGACGGCGATTTCGGATTCGTAATTAACAAAATATTACCTACAATTTGACAACAATTTTCAGTTGATTGAACTCATTTTACGCATTTTTTTTGAAAAATTTTGAAAATTTGGAATTCAGTTTTCACGTTTATTGGAAAGGAGGTTGCAACGGCGATTTCGGATTCGTAATGAACCAAAGATTATCTAGAATTTGACACCAATTTTCGATCGATTGAACCTATTTTAACAATTTTTTTGGAAAAATTTTGGAAAAGTCACGTTTATTTGAATAGAAATCAGGACGGCGATTTCGGATTCGTAATTAGCGAAAGATTATTTACAATTTGCCACCAATTTTCAAGTGATGGAACGTAGTTGAACCATTTTTTTGGATTTTTTCTTAAATTTTGATTTCACTTTTCACGTTTATTTGAATAGATGTGGTGACGGCGACTTCGGATTCGTAATTAGCGAAAAATTATCTACAGTTTGACACCAATTTTCAAGCGATAGAGCGTAGTCTAACCATTTTTTTGGAAAATTTTGAAAAATTTTGAGTTTACTTTTCACGTTGATTTGAATAGAAATTACGACGGTAATTTTAGATTTGTAATTAGCGAAAGAGTACCTACAATTTAACACCAATTTTCGATGTAGTGAATCAATTTTAACAATTTTTTTGGAAAAATTTTGAAAATTTTGAATTCACTTCTCATGTTTATTTGAATAGATCTCAAGACGACGATTTCGGATTGGTAATTAGAGAGAGATTATCTACAATTTGACACCAATTTTCAATTGATTGAGCTTATTTTAACCATTTTTTTGAAAACATCTTGAAAATTTTGAATTCATTTGCTACGTTTATTATATAGATGTCACGACTGCTATTTCGGATTCTTAATTACTGAAAGATTATTTATAGTTTAACAGCAATTTTCTAGGGATTGAACTTACTTTAACCATTTTTTTAGAAACATTTTGAATACTTTGAGTTCAAATTTCACGTTTATTTGAATAGATGTCACGAAGGCGATTTCGGATTCGTAATTAGCGAAAGATTATCTACAATTTGACACCAATTTTCGATCGATTAAATGCATTTTAACCATTTTTTTGGAAAATTTTTGAAAATTTTGAGTACACTTTTCATATTTATTTGAACAAATGTCACGACGATGATCCCAGATTCGTAATTAGCGAAAAATTGTCTACAATTTGACACCAATTTCCGATCTATTGAACTCATATTAACATTTTTTTTGGAAAAATTATGAAAAATTTTAATTCACTTTTCACGTTTATTTGAAGCGATGTCACGACTGCGATTTCGGATTCCTAATTAACGAAAGTTACCTACAATTGGACACCAATTTTCCATTCATTGAACCCATTTTAACAATTTTTTTTTGGAAAAATTTAAAAAATTTTTAATTCACTTTTCACGCTTATTTGAAGCGATGGCACGTAGGCGATTTCGGATTCGTAATTACCGAAACAATATCTACAATTTGACACCAATTTTCGATACACTGAACTCATTTTAACCATTTTTTTGGAAAACTTTTGCAAATTTTCAATTTTCTTTCCACGTTTATTGGAATAGAAGTCATTACGGCGATTTCGGATTCTTAATTAGTGAAAGATTATCTACAGTTCGATAACAATTTTCAGTTGATTAAATTCATTTTACGCAATTTTTTGTAAAAATTCTAAAAATTTTGAATTCAGTTTTCACGTTTATAGGAAAGGAGGTTGCGACGGCCATTTTGGATTCGTAATTAACCAAAGATTATCTACAATTTGACACCAATTTTCGATCGATCGAACTCAGTTTAACAATTTTTTGGAAAATTTTTGACAATTTTGAATTTATTTTTCTCGTTTATTTGAATAGATGTCACGGATTCATAATTAGCGAAAGATTATCTACTATTTGACTCCCATTTTCAAGCGATTGAACGTAGTTTCACCATTTTTTTGGAAATTTTTTGAGAATTTTGAGTTCACTTTACACGTTTATTTGAACAGATGTCACAACGGCGACTTAAAAATAAAATTTATTTTAAGCATTTTTTTGGAAAAATTTGGAAAATTTTGAATTTATTTCTCACGTTTATTTGAATAATTGTCACCACGGCAATTTCGAAGTCGTAATTAGCCAAAGATTACCTACAATTTGACACTAATTTTCGATGGATTGAACCAATTTTAACAATTTTTTTGGAAAAATTTTGAAAATTTTGAATTCGATTGTCACGTTTATTTGAATCGTTGTCACAACAACGATTTCGGGATCGTAATTATCGAAAAATTATCAACAAGTTGACACCAATTTTCGAACGATTGAAGCCATTTTAACAATTTTTTTGGAAAATTTTTGAAAATTGTTAATTCACTTTCCACGTTTATTTGAATAAATGTCACGACGGTGACTTCGGATTCTTAACTAGCGGAAGATTACCTACAACTGGACACCAATTTTCGATGGATTGAACTCATTTTAACATTTTTTTTGGAAATATTTTGAAAATTTTGAACTGAATTATCACATTAATTTGAATAGATATAGCGACGGCGACGTCGGATTCATAAATTAGCGAAAGGTTAGCTGTAGTTTCACACTAATTTTCGATAGATTGAACCCATTTTATAACTTTTTTCCAAAATTTGAAAATTTTGAATTCATTTTTCACGTTTATTTGAATAGATGTCAAGACGACGACTTCGGATTGGTAATTAGAGAGAGATTATCTGCAATTTGACACCAATTTTCGATTGATTGAACTTATTTTAACCATTTTTTTGAAAACATCCTGAAAATTTTGAATTTGTCAAAAATTATGTACAATTTGACACCAAACTTCATTATTTTATTATTACATTTAAGGTTTCTTCAGAACACAAATCTTTATCACAAATCAACTGAGACTACGACGAATGAAACATCCTCCCAAAAAAACCCCTTTCTTTCTTGACCCTCTTCCTGTCGTCGACTTTCTGCTTATCGTGCCATTTAAAAAACTCCCAACTATTCAGAACATTTTCAACATTCTTTTCTAAAATCAATCAAACAAATAAACAATTAACACAACACAAATCCTAATACCCCTCAGGTCTTTGATAGACGGAAGCACGCCTCCATAGTCCTCCGGTAAACACTCCTTTGGCACAAACTCGTAAAACGTTTCGATCGAATCGGCATGAAATTTCACCTGAACACAAATTCCAAATAGAAAATCAAAAGCGTTAAATTGTCAACAACCAACCTTCTCGTAGAGTTCTTTCTTCAGGAACGGCTTGACTAAAGCCATCAGTCGTCCGGTAATAGGAAGGGCGTTAATGTGATGGATGTGCTTTATCCTCGTAGGAGCCGCTTCCTACAAAATAAAATTAGGTACAATTTTACCAAAAAACGAATTTCAATACCTGCACGAAATGCGTAAATTGCTTCAAAACCGACAAACTAATTTTCAAAAAATGACCCATCGAAGTGCCCTTCATGTCGTAGACCACGATCAACCCATCCGCAGGCCCGTACTGGTGAAAATACAAAGTGATGAGGGCCACCACCACCTTCGTGTGGTCCAGACAGTTGTAAACTTCCGCTCTACTGTCCAGGATTTTCATCAGCATGACAGCGTCACCGTCGGCCGTTTTTCGCGGCAAAAACGCTATGAAACTTGACACTGACATTGACAATAAGCCAGACGGTTTTGTATTTGCACTTACAAGGAGTTTAGGGTCCGGGTTACGAGCTCTTTGGTCACATTTTGGAACAGATCTGAGCTGGTTCGAGCTGTGAAGTAGTTTTCGATCGTGATTTTGGCGTGCTCCAAGTCGTAGTAGCAGCTGTGGAGGAACAGAATTAGCTGGAGTTCTAAAACGAATATTCGTGATTCTGGGTGTGTTAATTTGGTGGTGAGGTTACCTTCTAGTTCGGGGAGGTGTGGCTGGGTTTTCGTCCACTCTGCGAGTTTAGCGACGTCTTCATTGTTCAGTTTTGGGTCCTTGGAGTAGATTGAAGGGACGTCAGCGAGCTTGAATGACATGTCGGACTGTGCTTGGTGTAATGAAGAGTGTGCTATCAGGACATGAAATAATTCTGATAAGTTGCTTTATTATTGATAAAACTGCTGTTGCGGTGGAGTGTGAAATAAGGCGTCCTTGATATAACCGGCTCAACTGATGGTTGTAATTTTATTGTCTGCACAAAAAAATCGGAACACTAAAAAAATTTAAAAATTTGCGGACTAAAACTATCAAATAGTAAGTGTCAAGGTGTATAAATTGTCTATATTGAATTCTGTCACTAAGCTTTAAACTTCACATTGTGTTAAGAGCAATTTTGGTGCGCAGATAAACAAGACATTATCGGATTTGTTAATTAACACACGCAAAAAACACAATCTCCAAGCCTATCAGTTATTTACTACATACTAAATAGTTTCTATTTTGATGTTTATCTTACATAATCCCACTTATTTCGTTTAAACGAAAACAAGGATATGAGCGATTAAAGTACAAGGAAGCCTTGATCGTTCAAAATAAGTCGCCGCACGAAATCGGATGACATTGAATGTTTGAATTTCCTTATCACAAACAAGACTAAACAAACCAGAGATCTGAACAAATAGAAACCTAAAATAGTTTAGATTCTAAATTATTTTTTTTAAGGTTCGGACTTGTGAAAAAACGCTTGCCAGAGGAAGAATGTCGTCACAATTGCTTATTAATTATTACAAAAGTAAATGTAAAACAACTTTTCTTTTTAATGACCTCCACAGTATGAAAAAGTAAGTGTCCCGTTTCCGTCAATCTGTGGTCTCTGTCGACGATCATTAAATGCACAATTCCGAAACTACCGCACTGATTGTTGTCAAATATGGAACGTATTTTAGGAATGTCGTTTAGATGATAGAAACCCTAACCGAGATTTTGCATGATAAATGTTATTTATAAATTTTATAAACTAACATACTCCTATATTTATGGTTTGTGAATCCGCTTGGGTTGTTTACTCTAGGCAACCACATTTAAATGATTAAATTTAACTTAAATTGTAATTGTATTTTTCAACTTTTTTTAACTCTTTTATTTTTATAGTTTTTTTAGCTTTTTTTGTCTCTTATTTTTATCGCCTCTGTCTTTTTTTGTAGCTTTTTCGTCTGTTCTGTCATCTTTATATTATCGTTTTAATTTTTTTCGTTTTCTTGTTTGTTTTTTTGGTCACTTTTTTTGTCCTTAGTAATTTCTCATTCGTAATATTTTTTTCTTTTTTTTTGGGTGTTTTTGTCGCCCCTTTTGGTGGCTTTCTTTGTCGTTTTTTTGTTGTTGACCGTTCTGTCGTTTTTTTGTTCACCTTTTTCAATTACCTCTTGTCCGCACTCTTTTTTCCACATTTTTGTTATGTGTTTTCATTTTTTTTTTGCTATCATTTTTGTCTTCTTCTTTGAAGCTGTTTTTTTGTTCTTTTGAAATTTTGTCATTTTTATTTCATTTTTTTAAATATTTTTAGCATTTTTGTCACTTTTTGGCCGTTTTCTTCCGCTTTTTTTGTCACTCAATTTTGTCGCCTTTATTTTTTCCTCATCATCTTGATTGTTTATTGGACGCCTTTTTTTTTGTTACTTTTTTCCCGTTTTTTAATCGTTCTGTTTCCGTTTTTTCGATATTTTTGTCGTTTCTTTTTTCATTTTTTTGTCACCTTTTTTTTTGTTTTCTGCAAAACCGAATGTTCTGAGACTTCTGTTACCTTTTTCCTCACTTTTTTTGGAGTTTTTTGACCGTTTGGACCTTTTTGCGTCCCTTTTTGGCGCTTTTTTCTCCTTTTTAGTCTCTGTGTATTTAATAACGTTTTTACAGCTTTTTGTGGCTTTTTTGTCGTTTTTTTCGCCTTTTTCGCCACTTTTTAGTCCTCTTTGAAACCACCCTTTTGGAGTTTTTTGATCATTTCTTGTAGTTGTTTTTAATCTTTTTTATTTTTTATGGTATTTTTAGCTTTTTGTCCCATTTTTCGTTTTTCTGTTGTCTTTATATTATGTTTTTTTTTTGTTTTCTTGTTTGTTTTTTGGGTCAGTTTTTTTGTCTTTTTTGTGTTATTTTTTCGCTTTTTCATCGATTGTTTCCTATCTTTTCTGTCACTCATTAGTAATATTTTTTCCCCTTTTTTGGGTTTTTTGTTACCCCTTTTGGTGGCTTTCTTTGTAGTTTTTTTTTGTTGTTGACCGTTCTGTCGTTTTTTGGTCCACCTTTTTCAATTACCTCTTTTCCGCACTCTTTTTTCCACATTTTTGTTGTGTTTTCATTTTTTTTGCTATCTTTTTTTGTCTTCTTCCTTGAAGCTTTTTTTTGTTTTTTGGATATTTGTCATTTTTTTTTACAATATTTTTAGCTTTTTGTCACTTTTTGACCGTTTTCTTCCGCTTTTTTTGTCACTCAATTTTGTCGCCTCTGCCTTTTTTTTGAGAGCTTTTTGTCGCCTTTATCTTTTTTCTGTCGTCTTTATATTTTCGTTTTTATTTTTTCCTCATTTTCTTGATTGTTTATTGGACGCCTTTTTTTGTTACTTTTTTCCCATTTTTTAATCGCTCTTTTTCCGTTTTTTAGATATTTTTTGTTTTCTGCAAAACCGAATATTCTGAGATTTCTGTTACCTTTTTCCACACTTTTTTGGAGGTTTTTTTGCCCTTTTTGGACCTTCTTTTCGTCCTTTTCTGGCGTTTTTTTCTCCTTTTTAATCCGTGTGTATTTAATAACGTTTTTACAGCTTTTTGTAAGTGGTTTTTTCGTTCTTTGTCGTTTTTTTCTTTTTTTTTGTCATTTTTACGCCTTTTTTGGCCACTTTTTAGTTCTTTTTGAAACCAGCCTTTTGGAGTTTTTTGATCATTTCTTGTAGTTGTTCGTAATCTTTTTTATTTTTTATAGTATTTTTAGCTTTTTGTCCCATTTTTCGTTTTTCTGTTGTCTTTATATTATCGTTTTAATTTTTTTTTTTCGTTTTCTTGTTTGTTTTTTTGTCACTTTTTTTTGTCTTTTTTGTGTTATTTTTTCGCATTTTCATCGATTGTTTCCTATCTTTTCTGTCACTCATTAGTAATTTTTTTTTCCTCCTTTTTTTTGGATTTTTTGTTACCCCTTTTGGTGGCTTTCTTTGTCGTTTTTTTTTTGTTGTTGACCGTTCTGTCGTTTTTTTTGTTGCCTATTTTTTAGCCTTTGTATATCATCTTTTTTTTTGTCATCTTTTTTTTTGTTTTTTCTGTTATTTTTTTTGTCCTCTTTTTCAACACCTTTTCCACATCTTTATCGCTTTTTTGTCACCCTTTTTTGTCTCCTTTTGAAGGTTATCATAAGCTTGGTAAATCGCTAATCTAATTTTATCTGTTTATTTCTTCTAAAAAATTAAATTGTGTTGGATAAAATATTTTGGGTCCACATTTGTGATTTATCACTATCAAAGAATAATATTTTTGCCACCTTATTTTGCTCTTTTTTGACCTTTTTTGGTCCTCTCGGCATCTTTTTTGTCCATTTTGAATCTCAACATTTTATTTGTCGTTTTAAGTCGTTTTTTTCGCCTTTTTTGGCCACTTTTGGGACTTTTTTCGTTATTTTTTATAGTTGTATTTTTTATTTATTTTTTTATTTTTATAGTATTTTTGTGCTTTTGTATCAACGTTTGGTCTTTTTTTCGCTTTTTTTGTCGCTTATTTTTGTTGCCTTTCTATTATCATCTTTTTTGTAGATTTTTGTAGTCTTTTATTTTTTTTCTTTTTTTCGCTATTTTGTCACCTTTTTTTTGTTCTCTGCAAAACCGAATGGTCTGAAACTTTTTGTTACCTTATTTTTCTCTTTTTTTAGCTTTTTTTGTCTCCTTTTTAATCCATATGTTTTTTGTAGCGTTTTTGCAGCTTTTTGTGGTCTTCTTTGTATGTTTTGTGACAATTTTGTGTATTTTTTCGTTTTTTCATCGTTTTTTCGTTTCGTTTTTTACTTTCTGCCATATCAGTAATATTCTTTATTTTCCTTTTTTGGGAAGCTTTTTTTTGTCGTGTCCATATTATCGTCTTATTTTTTGGAGTTTTTATCGTCTTTTTGTTTGGCACCTAGTGTTTTCTTTTTTTTGGTGCCTTTTTTTCGTTTCTTTTGTTGACCGTTCTGTTACTTTTTTAACTGCCGTTCATATCTGTTTTCGTCTTTTCACTACCTTTTTTTTCTTTTTCTTTCTAGCTTTTTTAATTTTTTGGACCTTTTCGTCGTCATTAGCGGTTTTTTGTCTTCTTTTTAATACTATGTTTGATTTATATTTTTAACCGCTTTTTTTGTCCTCATTTTTAATCGTCCATTTCAACAAATTTGCAAGCTTTTTTGTTATCTTTTTTTCTATTTTTTTTTAGTTTTTGGCTCTTTTTGGCGTTTTTTGTCTCTATCCCATGTTTGTTATAGCGTTTTTACGCCTTTTTTGTCGCTTTTTTCTGTTTTTTTTGCCACTTTTGAGTCCTTCTTGAAGTTGAAACTGTTCTGTTAGAACTTTTTGGTCATTTCTTGTAGTCGCATTTTAACTTTTTTTTAACCTTTTTTTTTAATTTCTTATAGTATTTAAAGCATTTTTGTCGCCTGTGGTTTTTTTGTCGCTTTTTTCCTTTTCAGTCCTCTTTAGATTAATTATCGTTTTTGTTTTTGTTTTTTTCTCGTCTTCTTGATTGTTTATTGGTCACTATTTTTTGTTATCCCTTTTTTTGTCCTCTTTTTTAATCGTCCTTTTCCGTTTTTTTCCGTTTTTTTTCTATATTTTGTTGTTTATTTTCGTTTTGTTGTCACCTTTTTTTTGTTCCCTGTGAAACCAAAAGCTCTAAATCTGTGCAAGCCGTTTTGTTACCTTTTTTCTTATTTTTTTGGTGTTTTTTGCTATTTTTCGGACCTTCTTTTCGTCCTTTTTTGGCGTTTTTTGTCTCCTTTTTAATCCCTATGTTTTTTAGGGTTTTTACAGCTTTTTGTGGCCTTTATGTCGTTTTTCGCCTTTTAGGCCACTTTTGAATCCTTTTTGAAATCGCCCTTTTGGACCTTTTTTGGTTATATATTGTAGTTGTATTTTCACCCTTTTTGAATCTTTTTTTATTTTTTACAATATTATTAGCTTTTTTGTTACTGAATTTTGTCGCCTGTCTTTTTTTGATAACTTTTTGTCGCCTTTTTCGTTGTTCTATCCTCTTTATATTATCGTTTTTATTTTTTTCTCATCTTCTTGATTGTTTATTGGACACTTTTTTTTTTGCTTCTCTTTCTTTTGTTACTTTTTTCCACTTTTTTTCGTTTTTTTGTCACCTTTTTTTTGTTCTCTGCAAAACCGAATGTTCTGAGACTTCTGTTATCTTTTTCCTCACTTTTTTGGAGTTTTTTTACCCTTTTTGGACCTTCTTTTCGTCCTTTTTTGGCTTTTTTTCTCCTTTTTAGTCCCTTTAATAACGTTTTTACAGTTTGTTGTAGCTTTTTTGTCGTTTTTTCGTCTTTTTTGGCCACTTTTTAGTCCTTTTTGAAACCACCCTTTTAGAGTTTTTTGATCATTTCTTGTTGTTTTTTTATTTTTTTATAGTATTTTTAGCTTTTTGTCTCCTTTTTCGTTTTTCTGTCCCCTTTATATTATCGTTTTTATTTTTTTCCGTCTTCTTGATCGTTTATTAGTCACGTTTTTTTTGTTGACCCTCTTTTTGGTTATCTTTTTGTTGTTACTTTTTTTATTCCTTTTTTAATTACGTTTTTCCATATTTTTTCGTTTCTTTTCGCTTTTTGGTTACCTTTTTTTTTGTTCCCTGCAAAACCGAATGCTCTGAAACTTTGCGAGCCTTTTTGTCAACTTTTTTCTCTTTTTTGTAGCTTTTAATCTTTCTGGAACCTTCGTTTCTTCCTTTTTTTATGTTTTTTGTCTTCTTTTTAATCCTTCTGTTTTTTCATCGTTTTTTCCCGCCTTTTCTGTCACTAACTTATTAGTAATATTTTTTTATTCTCCTTTTTTTGTCCCTCTTTTTTAATTATCTCTTTTCCATTTTTCGAAAGTCTTTTTTTCTACATTTTTATTTGTTTTCGTTTTTTCTGCTTTCTTTTTTCACTTCTTCTTTGGAGCTTTTTTGTTTTTTTTGGATTTTTTGTTCACCTTATTTGAGCTTTTCTGTTGATATCTTCTTTTAATATTTGTGTTATTTATATTTTTAATTCCGCCTTTTTTGAGTTTTTTGCTTGGTTTTGTATTGCATTTTTTCACTTTTTTCATCTTTGTTTCGTGGTCTTTTGCAACCTTTTAATCGTTTTTTGTACTTTTTAGTTGCCTCTTTTTGTCACCTCTATGGCTTTTTTCGCTGCCTCTTTTCGATTTTTCTGTCGCCTTTAATTTTATCATCTTTATTTTTGGACCCTTTTTTTCCTCGTTTTTTTGTCTCTGTCCTTGTTGATTTGATCCCTTTTTTAAGGCCCTTTTTGTCCCCTTTTTAATATTTGAAACACAGATGTCGATGAACTGATTCAAAAAATATAGTTTTCAGGATCTTCGAAATTTTCGGTTTCAAAATCTCGTTTTCAAAACATCCCAAAAATGGCCATATTTAATTTTCGTGATTCTGGAAAATTAGTTGGAATTTTCAAAAAAATGTTATCGAAATTGATTTCTAAAAGTGAAAATCAACAAAAATTTGCCTTTAGGTAATTAAGGAAAGATGGTAAAAAATTTGAGCTTTTGAAAAAGTTTCCTAAAAATCCACAACAAAATTTGGTGTTGGCTTTGAATACTTACTTATAAAAAAAATTGCACTTTTCGGTTCTTCAATTTTTGATTCTTTTTTAGTTTCTTCACTTTTTCTATTTGCAATTTTCCTTAGTTTTCAAGTTTAAATTTTTCAGATTTTCTATTTTCCAAATTTTTGATTTTTCGGTTCCTTAATTTTTCATTTCGGTTTTTTATTTCTTTATTTTTTCAATTTTTTCCTTCTTCAATTTTTTATTTTTTCAATTTTTCGACGTGCAATTTATTGATCTTCTAGTTTCTCGATTTTACATTTTTTTTATTTTTCCAATTTTTCAATGTTTTAATTTTTTGTTTTTCAATTTTTAGATTTTTCAATTTTTAGATTTTTTTTAAAAAGGTCCCATCTTTTTTTTCGAATTTTTGAATTTTGAATTTTTCGGTTTTTGATTTTTCACTGTTTGTATTTTTCATTTCTTCAATTTTTCGATTTGCAATTTTTTTGATTTTTCAAATTTTAGATTATTTCTTTTCCCAATTTTTAGTTTTTCAAATTTCCGATTTGAATTCTTCGCTTTTTAATTTTTCGATTTCTTAATTTTTGAATTTGTCCGTCCTGTTTTTCAAGTTTTTGTTTCTTAAATTTTTCGATTGGCAATTTATTGATCTCAGTTTTTGGATTTTACAATTTTTCCATTTTTCGGTCTTAAACATTTTTAATTTGTGGTTATTCAATTTTTAGATTTTTTAATTTTTCGATTTCACAACTTTTTATTTTTCCACTTTTTCAATGTTTTAATTTTTTGTTTTTTAAATTTTTATATTTTTCAATTTTTAGATATCTAAATTTTTGGATTTCTTTAATTTTTCGATTTCTCAACTTTAGGTCTTCCTGTTTTTTCGAATTTTTGATTATTGAATTTTTCGGTTTATGATTTTTCACTGTTTACATTTTTCATTTCTTCAATTTTTCGATTTGCAATTTTTTGATTATTTCTTTTCATAATTCTTAGTTTTTCAAATTTCTGATTTGAATTTTTCGCTTTTTAATTTTTCTATTTTTTCCTTTTTTTGTCCTCCCTCTTCGTGTTTTTTTTTGTCAGTTTTATTTGTTCCCCTTTTTTAAATTTTTTCTTTTTCATTTTTCTATAGTCTTTATTTCTACATTTTTATTTTTATTATCTGTTTTCGGTTTTTTGCTTTCTTTTTTTTTTCTTTTTCTTTGGAGCTCTTTTTGGTTCTTTTTTGATCTTTTGTACATTTTGGATGCTTTTCGTACATATCCTTTTTTAATATTTGTGTTATTTATATTTTTAATTCCGCCTTTTTTGAGTTTTTTGCTTGGTTTTGTATTGCATTTTTTCCCTTTTTTCATCTTTGTTTCGTGGTCTTTTGCAACCTTTTGGTCGTTTTTTGTACTTTTTAGTTGCCTCTTTTTGTCACCTCTATGGCTTTTTTCGCTGTCTCTTTTCGATTTTTCTATCCTTGCTGGTTTGATCCCTTTTTTTAAGACCTTTTTTTGTCCCCTTTTTAATATTTGAAACACAGATGTCGATCAACTGATTCGAAAAATATAGTTTTCAGGATCTTCGAAATTTTCGGTTTCAAAATCTCATTTTCAAACATCGCAAAAATGGCCATATTTAATTTTCGTGATTCTGGAAAATTAGTTGGAATTTTCAAAAAAATGTTATCGAACATGATTTCTAAGAGTGAAAATCAACAAAAATTTGTTTTTAGGTAATTAAGGAAAGATGGTAAAAAATTTGAGCATTTGAAAAATTTTCCTAAAAATCCACAACTAAATTTGGTGTTGGCTTTGAATACTTAATTATAAAAAAATTTGCATTTTTCGGTTCTTCAATTTTTCATTCTTTTTTAGTTTCTTCACTTTTTCTATTTGCAATTTTCCTTAGTTTTCAATTTTAAATTTTTCAGGTTTTCTATTTTCCAAATTTTTGATTTTTCGGTTCCTTAATTTTTCATTTCGGTTTTTTATTTCTTTATTTTTTCAATTTTTCGCTTCTTCAATTTTTCGTTTTTTCAATTTTTCGACGTGCAATTTATTGATCTAGTTTCTCGATTTTACATTTTTTTTATTTTTCCAATTTTTCAATGTTTTAATTTTTTGTTTTTCAATTTTTAGATTTTTCAATTTTTAGATTTTTTTAAAACGTCCCATCTTTTTTTTCGAATTTTTGAATTTTGAATTTTTCGGTTTTTGATTTTTCACTGTTTGTATTTTTCATTTCTTCAGTTTTTCGATTTGCAATTTTTTGGTTATTTCTTTTCCCAATTCTTAGTTTTTCAAATTTCTGATTTGAATTTTTCGCTTTTTAATTTTTCTTTTTCTTCCTTTTTTTGTCCTCCCTTTTCGTGTTTTTTTTTGTCAATTTTATTTGTTCCCCTTTTTTAAATATCTTCTTTTTTATATAGTCTTTATTGCTACATTTTTATTTTTATTATGTTTTCGTTTTTTTGCTTTCTTTTTTTTCTTTTTCTTTGGAGCTCTTTTTGGTTCTTTTTTGATCTTTTGTACATCTTTGATGCTTTTTGTACATATCCTTTTTTAATATTTGTGTTATTTATATTTTTAATTCCGCCTTTTTTGAGTTTTTTGCTTGGTTTTGTATTGCACTTTTTCCCTTTTTTCATCTTTGTTTCGTGGTCTTTTGCAACCTTTTGGTCGTTTTTTGTACTTTTTAGTTGCCTCTTTTTGTCACCTCTATGGCTTTTTTCGCTGCTTCTGTCGCCTTTAATTTTATCATCTTTATTTTTTGACCCTTTTTTTCTTCGTTTTTTTGTCTCTGTCCTTGTTGGTTTGATCCCTTTTTTTAAGACCTTTTTTGTCCCCTTTTTAATATTTGAAACACAGATGTCGATGAACTGATTCAAAAAATATAGTTTTCAGGATCTTCGAAATTTTCAAAATCTCATTTTCAAACATCTTAAAAATGGCCATATTTCATTTTCGTGATTCTGGAAAGTTAGTTGGAATTTTCAAAAAAATGTTATCCAAAATGACTTCTAAAAGTGAAAATGAAGAAAAATTTGTCTTTAGGTAATTAAGGAAAGATGGTAAAAAATTTGAGCTTTTGAAAAAGTTTCCTAGAAATCCACAACAAAATGTGGTGTGTAGATATCAATTGGAAAAATATAGCGGTCTGGATGGTCCTCGAAATTTTTGGTTTCAAAATCAAATTTCTATAGCATTCCAAAAATTGCCACATTTTTTTAGGTGATTTAGGAAAAGTGGTAGGAATTTGCGACATTTTGCCAAAAATGGCTTCTGCCAGTCGAAATTTACAAAAAATTGTCTTTCGATAATTTTAGAAAGTGTTCGAAAAAAAGTCAAAAATTTAAAAATAGGAAAGTGTTGAAAATTTGAGTTTTTGGAAAAGTTGCCTAAAAATATGTACCGTAATTCAGGGGCGAGGGAACAATAAAAAAAAAAAATTAAAACATCTATTAACCAGGCTACTACCATTATCCTAATTATCCTCCATGTAACACACTAAAAATTTCCTAATCGATTTGAAGTTTTTTGAAAGTTCCTTCCGCTCCAAAGGTAGATTCTATAGTGTTATCCGTCTTTGTCCTTTTGGACTCATCAACAGTCTGAGTCTCGTGCCATTTTATCAAGTCTAAATTTTCCAAAATCGCGTTTAGAGGCTGGTCTAAAATTCATACACTCCATATCGAAAATGTCTTTATTCTCCATTACCTTTCAAAATTGCGTACGGCGGAAGTTCTCCACCAATATCTTCAGGCAAACACTCCTTAGGAACGTATTTGTGTAAAGTTTCAGGCGACGAATGCAGCTGTATCTGTAATATTTTTTCTTAATTTTAAAATATAGCTTGATTTTTTTTCTTAACCATTTGAAAAAGATGACCGCTCAAAATGGGCTTTATTATAGCTAAGACTTTATCCATGACGGGTGTTATATTAACAATGTGGATCTCTTTAATCCTCACAGGTGTACCTTCCTGAAAAGAAAAATTTAGCAAGCCACCAAGAACCAAAAAAACTACCTGAAGATGGTTCAGCCAGTGTTTCGTTGCTAACAAATTCACTCTAGTCAGGTGACTCAGTGTGTACCCTTTACAGTCAAATATGAGAACAAGTCCTTCTTCAAAGCCATGTAGGTGTGCATATAGTGCAAGCACACAGTTTAGCATAATCATTGTCGTAGTGAAATGATAATTTTCGACCGGACAATCAACCAATGTTCCCATGTAAATCATGTACCCTTGGGGGGTCTTCTTTGGAAGAATATGGCTCATACTGAAATTTTATTAAACTTATTATTCCAATACGGTGTTAAATTTGAGTCATATACACTGCCGAACACGTTTTTTTTATGATGTCGTTACTCGGAAGGAGAAAAATTTCGGGGTGAAGAGTTCTTGCAGTGAAGTATTTGTCGATGGTTGTTTTAGCCATTTCGATGCTGTAGTAACAACTGTGTAAAAATGGAATCAATTGAAACTCTAGAAAAAAAAACTGTACTTTTAGCTACGTTTATTTTTTTACCGACCTTCTATTTTTGGTAGATGCGGTTGTGTAGTCAACCAATCTTGCAAAATTTTCACATCTTCGGGTCTTATTTTTGGGTCTTTTTGGTAAAGTTTTTCAGGTTTGATGCAGGTGAGACTCATGGTGTGGCTTAATAACGTTAAGTGAATTAGTAAGTACCAAAGTTATATATTAATTAGTTGTTTTTCCGGTTTTTTAGTCATTAATGTTTCTTCGAGGCACTTTAGAGTCCAAGGGCGTTTATTAATTGCAGTCAAGACGGTTTATTAGCAAGGATTTGCATGTATTAAAGTCGTTTCCACTTACGTCGTTTTGTGTTATATTTATTTAAAGACATTCTTTACATAATTTATAATTAATGTATTAACAATAACAGCTCCCACACGCTAGTGTCTTTACTAATTTATTACGTAATTGTTAATCGATTTCTAGTTTCTTGAAACTTCCTTCCATCCCAAAACCAGACTTTAAACTACTCGTTCCTCCTACTCTCTTCGTTTCGTCGACCCTCTGGGAATCGTGCCATCTTAGGAGGTCTATGTTTTCCAGAAGTTCCTCGATCGTTTCCCCTAGAAAAAAATTGGTGGAAGGTTATTTGGAAAGAACTTCCACCGCCCCTGAAGTAGCCAAACAAATACCGCTTCTTTGAATAATTAAAAAAAAGCAATTTTTGTGTTCCATAGATTTCTAGAGTTGAGTTTTTCGGTTTTTTAGTTTGTCATTATTTTTTGGTTTCTTCACTTTTTCGATTTGCAATTTTTCGAAGTTTTCAAGTTTAAATTCTTCAAGTTTTCAAATTTTTGATTTTTCGAATCTTTAATTTTTTATTTCGATTTTTTATTTCTTATTTTTTCAAATTTTCATTTTTTCCATTTTTCAATTTGCAATGTTTCGTATCAGTTTTTTATTTTCGTTATTTTTTAAATTTTTCGATTTTTCAATGTCCCGATTTTATAATTTTACTGTTTTTTATGTTAAAATTTTTAGATTTTTCAAATTTTAGATATTTCAATTTATGGATTTCTTTAATTTTTCGATTTTTCAACTTTGCATCTTTCTGTTTTTTCGAATTTGTGATTTTTGAATTTTTCGGTTTATGACTTTTCACTGTTTGGATTTTTCAACTTCTCGTTTATTCAATTTTTCGATTTGTAATGTTTCGTTTCGATTTTTTGTTTTCTTCATTTTTTAGATTTTTTGGTTTTTCAGTGTTTTGTTTTGAATGTGAAATTTTTCAATCTTTGCAGTTTTTCTAATTTAAATTTCTGGAAATTTTAATTTTTCGATTTTATCACTCTTAGATTTTCAACTTTTGATTATTTATTTTCTTGATTTACAGTTTTTCGAATTTTCTAATTTTTTGATTGTATGATTTTTAGATTTTTCAATTTTTTGTTAGCATAATTTTTCTTGTTCTCAATGTTTCGATTTATTAGATAGATTCCCGATTCCACAATTTTTCGATTTTTCACCGTTTAATTTTTTTTTTAATTTCTGATTTCTCAATTTTTAGAATTTTCTACTTTAGGCATTTTTCGAATTTTTGATTTTTAAATTTTTCAATTTTTCAGTTTAACAATTTTTCGACTTTATATTTTGTCAATTTTTGGAAAAATTAATTTTCGATTTTGCAACTTTTGATTTATAAGTTTCTCGATTTTCAGTTTTCCGAATTTTTTATTCATTTTTCAATTTTTAGATTTTTCAGTTTCTCGATTACAATTTTTCAAATTTTTCTGTTTTCGCGAATTTTCGAATTTTTCATTTTTGAATTTCTCGATTTTTGACTCTTTAGTTCTGCAATTTTTTGACTATACAATTTTTCAACTTTTAGAAATTTTAGGTTTTAGATTTTACAGTTCTTCGATTTTTTATTTCAATTTCAGTTTTCCGAATTTTTCAATTTTTTAATTTTTAAAATTTTTCCGATTTTTAAATTTTTTTTGTGTGAAATTTTTCAATTTTTGGGTTTCTCAACATATAAATTTTTGAATTTTTCGTTTTTTTAATTTCAGATTCTTCAGTTTCTCGAATTTTCTATTTTTTTGAATTGCACTTTTTCTAATTCAAATTTCTAGAAATTTTTATTTGTCGATTTTATCACTCTTAGATTTTCATCTTTTGATTATTCATTTTCTCGATTTTCAGTTTTCCGAATTTTCTATTTTTTTTTATTGTATGATTTTTCGATTTTTCAATTTTTTGTTAATATAATTTTTCTTCTTCTCAATGTTTCGATTTATTAGTTTCCCGATTTCACAATTTTTCGATTTTTCACCATTTCATTTTTTTTAAATTTCTCAATTTTTAAAATTTTCTACTTTTGGGATTTTTTGATTTTTGATTATTAAATTTTTCGATTTTTAATATTTCAGTTTTACAATTTTTCGACTTTACATTTTGTCACTTTCAGTTTCCCGATTTTCAGTTTTCCGAATTTTTCAGTTTTTAAATATTTTATTCATTTTTCAATTCTTAGATTTTTCAGTTTCTCGAATACAATTTTTCAAAATTTTCAATTTTTAAGTCTTTCAATTTTTAGATTTTTTGATTTTTCGTTTGGGCACTATTCAAATTCTTCTGTTTTTGCGATTTTTCAGATTTTTCATTTTTGAATTTCTCGATTTTTGACTCTTAAGTTTTGCAATTTTTTGACTTTTAGAAATTTAAGTTTTAGATTTTACTATTCTTCGATTTTTCAACTTTCTGATTTTATATTCAGTTTTTCGAACTTTCAAGTTTTTTAAATTTTAAAATTTGTCCGATTTCTCAATTTTTTAATGTGAAATTTTTCAATTTTTGGATTTTTCAATTTTTCGATTTGCTATTTTTCGTTTTTTCAATTTCAGATTCTTCAGTTTCTCGAATTTCCAAATTTTGCTTTTTCAATTTTTCATTTGCGGTTTTTCTTTCAAATTACTGGAAATTTTACTTTTTCGATTTTATCATTCTTAGATTTTCAAATTTTAACTATTCATTTTCTCGATTTTCAGATATCCGCATTTTTAATGTTTCGATTTAAATTTATTAGTTTCTCGATTCTACAATTTTTCGATTTTTCAATTTTTAGAATATTCTATTTTATGGATGTTTCGAATTTTTGATTTTTAAATTTTTAAATTTTTGATTTTTCAGTTTAATAATTTTTCAATTTTTAGAAATTTTAATTTTCGATTTTACAAATTTTGATTATTCAGTGTCTTGATTTTCAGTTTGTAAATGTTTTAATTTTTCAATTTTTTAATTTTTCAGTTTCTTGATTTTACAGTTTTTCGAATTTTTCATTTTTAGGTTCTTCAATTTTTAAATTTTTCCATTTTTGCGATTTTTTTGAATTTTTTCATTTTTGAATTTCTCGTTTTTTGACTCAATTTTGAAATTTTTTACTTCAGAATTTTTCAATTTTTTGAAATTTCTATTATCGATTTTTCAACTTTTGATTGTTCAGTTTTTCGATTTTCTGCTTTCCGAATTTTTCAATTTTTAGATTTTGCAGTTTCCCAATTTTACAGTTTGATTTTATAATTTTTCGAATGTGAAATTTTTCAATTTCTGGATTTTCAGTTTTTCGATTTGCAATTTTTCGGTTTCCAATTTTCAGGTTTCTCATTATTTAGATTTTTGAATTTTTCTATTTTTCAGTTTTAGATTCTTCACTTTCTCGAATTTTCAATTTTTCGTTTCTTCAGTTTTTGATTTGTAGTTTTTTAATAATTTTTTTCACTTTTCAGTTTTACGATTTTAGAATTTTTCCATTTTACAATCATTGAATTTTTAAAATTTTTTCAGATTTTCGATTTTTCGTTACATTTTCTCCATTTTACAACGTTGACGATTCTATAATTTTTTGATTTTACAAATTTTGCAATTTTTCGTTTTTTCATTCTTCGATTTTTGAAATTTTTCCGATTTTTTGGTTTTTGTTTTTTCAATTTTTCGATTTTTCAACTTTTCGTATCAATAAATAGAAAAACTGCAAAACTGTAAAACTAAAAAATCGAAAAAACGAAATATGATTTTTGAATTTCTCGTTTTTTGGTTTTTCAGTTGCTGGATTTTTCAATCTTTCGGTTTTTGAATTTTTCCACTTTGCAAGTTTATGGTTTTACTATTCTTTTTCTTCAATTTTTGGATTTTTTAATTTTTTGATTTTTCAACTTCAACTTTTTGGAATTTTTCGTTTTTTTGATTTTTTACTTTTTCAGTTTTACGATTTTAGAATGTTTCCATTTTTCAACTATTGGATTTTTAAACTTTTTTATTTATTTGATTTTTCAGTTTTTCATTCTTTCAGTGTTACAGTTTTCCAGTTTGCAATTTTTGGTTTTTCCAATTTTTCGATTCCATTTTTTTTTCTTTTCACTTTTTCGATTCAATAACTTATTTTGATTTTTAAGTTTCTTTATTTTTACTTTTTCAATACTCCAATTTTTCGTTTCTTCAGTTTTTCGATTTATAATTTTTCGATTTTCCACTTTTTCGAATTTGCAATTTTTCGTTCTTTCAGTTTTTAGACTTTTTTATTTTTTCTAATTTTTTAGTTTTTCGATGTTTCAACTTTTCGAATAAAAAATGTAAAAATTACAAGACTGTAAAACTGAAAAATCAAAAATGAGAAATAGAAAAGTGCGGAATGAAAACGTTGAAAAATCTAAAAACTGGAAATCAAGAACATGAAAAGTTGAAGAAACGAAAAATTCAAAAATCGAAAGACTAAAGAAACTAAAAAGTCGAAAAAGTGCAAAATCGAAAAAACGAAATATTGTAAAATCAAAAATATTAAAAAAAAATCGGAAAAAAGGATAAAATCGAAAGAAACTTTGGAAAAATTAAGGAAATGAAAAATGAAAAATTGTGATATATAATTGAAAAAATGAAAATTTAAAATCGGGAAAATGAAAAATAAAAATCAAGAATTGGAAAAATTTGAAAAATCGAAAAATTCTAAAATTTGGAAAAATGAAAAAAATTAAAGTCAAAAAGCCAAGAATTATTAAACCGAAACATTAAAACATTGAAAATTTTAAAAGGTAAAGAAAACTAAAAACCGAAAGACTGTGACATAAAATCGAGAAAACGAAACTTAAAAAATCGGGAAAATGAAAAATGAAAATCAAGTCGGCAAAATTTTCATATGACGTCATCTGATTTCGTTTAACAATTTCCAGCATCAAAGCTAAACTGTAAAATGTTACACAATTTTGATTTTTTCAAAAAATTGGGATGTCTAGGGTAAAAATTGAGGACGGATTCATAAACCACAAGTGAAGGATTATCTTATTTTATAAAATTGAAATAACATTTACTAATCGAAATTTTGGAGATGACGTCATCCTGTTGTTGGTGAGGATGTCTATTAAAATTTTGGTTAGCGTTTTATATAGAAAATTTGACAACAATCGGTCTTGTAGTTTCGGCGATTATCTGTCTAACAAAAATTCGGACAGACGGCAGACAGACAGACAGACGGAAACGGGAAACCTATTTTTTCACACTCTAAGGGTCATGAACCGTCGAGAAAACATAAAAGTAGCCAGTAGCAATTTTGCTTTCACCTGTCATCGATTTGCACGACGGCAGTTCCCCACCATAATCCTCCGGCAGACACTCTTTAGGTACATACTTATACAAAGTTTCAATAGAAGGATGAAGCTGGAACTAAGCAAGGAAATTTTAGTTTCTACACAATCACCCTCTCCTTTGCTTACCATTTCAAAAAGCTTAGCATTCATCAACGGTTTCAACAAAGCCAAGACTTTGTCGATGAAGGAAGGCACATTGACGATATGCATTTGCTTGACTCTGACAGCTGAACCTTCCTGAAACCCAAAATCGAATCGGGTACAAACTTTAACGAACCATTGTCGAAACAAGTACCTGCAAGTGTAGAATACTCTGCTTCAAAACAGGCAGATTCACTCGAGCTACATGCCCCAGACTGCCTCCTTTGAAATCCAACACGGCGACGAGTCCGTCGACGAACCCATGACGATGAAGATGTGCTGTCAGCACACAGTTCACCACGACGATTAGGTTGAGGAAGTTGTAGTTTTCGACTTTGTAGTCGAGCATTCGTGTTAGAAAAACTGTATTTCCTTCGGGGGTTTTCTTAGGAAGGACTTTGCTCATTCTGGAATTTTACTAAGTGTAGTTTTGGCGAGGAGATTTTTTGAATGTTATGTTTACACAAGCGAAGCGGTGTTTCTTAGTGTGTCTTCACTAGGGCAATGGAAGATGTGTGGGTAGAGGGTTTTTCTGGTGAAATACTTGTCGATGGCGGTTTTGGCTGCCTCAATGCTGTAGTAGCAGCTGTGGAGGATAATGATCACTTGCGACTCTAAAATAAAACAAAAACGGTGACAATAAACTTTAAGTACTCGTAGTATCCGTGGTACATACAAAATTTTATGTCTTGCTATGTAGTTTGTGATATTAAAAAAAAAGGAAAAGTCATCATCCGATATTCTATTATTGGTTGCATTTTCTGTAAATGAATTTGTCAAAGAAATACATTTTGCTGTTTTGTTAATTGTTGCTGACGAATGATTTTTACAAGCAGATTAAATTTTGCCTGTTTCCAGAGACGGTGGTTTTAGTAATACAAATTGGCGCTTTTGAGGTATCTATACAACCAGCAATACACCAAGTAACGAATAATGAAGATATAGTTGACCGATCCAGTTATCTCTTGACATTACTTTGATACTATGTCAACTGTTTTTAATGCCCTAAGGTCTTATTTGGTCAATAACGTCAGTCGGGGCTGTAGAAAACTGAACTACTAGGTTAGAGTTTAATTAATGTTTTGTTTGACAAATTAAATAATTTGGACAAAGTCAGTATCCCATTTTTCAAAATCAAATTGCTATTATGATACTCATAAAAAATTAACAACTAAAATTTTGTTATGTCAAAGTGGTCCAGGTTTGTCTGGCGGCGATTGTACCCCACATTCAGAGCATTTAAAATTTTCTAGTTGACAGATTTCAAATTTCGTATTTTTCAATATCTCCTTTTGTGAATTTTTCGAGTTTACAATTTTTCGATTTTTCAATTTTTATATACATATTTGAATTTTTCATGTTTTCAATTTTTGGGATTTTCAGTTTCTTGATTTTTCAATTTTTCAGTTTTCGTGATTTTTTCAATTTTGTAATTTTTAGATTTTTGAATTTGAAATATTTTAATTTCACCATTTTTCAGTTTTTAGGTTGCTCAGATCCTTGATTTTGGAATTTTTCGAATTTTTCGATTCTTGATTTTTAGTTTTGCACTTTTCGACTTTACAATTTTAAAATTTTTGGAAATTTTAATTTTTCTATTTTATAATTTTTAGATTTCTCAATTTTCAGATTTTTGTACTTAATCGAATTTTAAAATTTTTGATTTTTGAATTTGTCTATTTTTTATTCTTCGCTTCTGCTATTTTGCGACATTATAATTTTTAAGTTTATGGAAATTTTAATTTTTCGATTTATCATTCTTAGATTTTTAATTTTCTCAATTTTTGATTTTTCAGTTTTGCACTTTTTCGACTTTTTGGAAATTTTTAATGTTCGATTTTTTAAATTTAAAATTTTTTAAAATTTCTGGAAATTTTAATTTCTCGCTTTTATCATGTTTAGATTTTCAACTTTTGGTTATTCAGTGTCTCAATTTCCAGTTTTTCGATTTTTGAATTTTTAGATATTTTAATTTTTCTTGTTTCCAATGTTTCGATTTAGTAGTTTCTCGATTTGATAATTTTTAGATTTATCAATTTTTAGACTTTTTTTTGAATTTCCGATTTTTCAATTTTTAGAATTTTTATTTTACCGATCTTTCGAAGTTCGGATTTTTGAATTTCTCAATTTTTGATTTTTCGGTTTTGTACTTTTTCGACTTTTCAATTTTTCAATTTTTGGAAATGTTTAATTTTCCAATTTATAGTTTTCCGATTTTTAAAATTTTTAAACTACAGTTTTTCGATTTTCAGTTATTGGAATTTTTCAATTTTTTTGTATGAATTTTTTGGTTTTATCATTTTTCAAGTTTTAGGTTCACTTTCCCGATTTTACATTTTTTCGATTTCTCAATTTTTAGATTTTTCTATTTAACCGATTTTTTCAATTTTTGGAAATTTTAATTTTTCCTTTTTATCATTCTTAGATTTTCAAATTTTGGTTATTCAATTTCCCGATTTTCAGTTTATCGATTTTTGAATTTTTAGATATTTTAATTTTTCTTGTTTCCAATGTTTCGATTTAGTAGTTTCTCGATTTTATAATTTTTCGATTTATCAATTTTTAGATTTTTTTTTGAATTTCCGATTTTTCAATTTTTAGAATTTTTATTTTACCGATCTTTCGAAGTTCGGATTTTTGAATTTCTCAATTTTTGATTTTTCGGTTTTGTACTTTTTCGACTTTTCAATTTTTCAATTTTTGGAAATGTTTAATTTTCCAATTTATAGTTTTCCGATTTTTAAAATTTTTAAATTACGGTTTTTCGATTTTCAGTTATTGGAATTTTTCAATTTTTTGATATGAATTTTTTGGTTTCATAAGTTTTAGGTTCACTTTCCCGATTTTACATTTTTCCGATTTCTCAATTTTTAGATTTTTCTATTTAACCGATTTTTTCAATTTTTGGAAATTTTAATTTTTCCTTTTTATCATTCTTAGATTTTCAAATTTTGGTTATTCAATTTCCCGATTTTCAGTTTATCGATTTTTGAATTTTTAGATATTTTAATTTTTCTTGTTTCCAATGTTTCGATTTAGTAGTTTCTCGATTTTATAATTTTTCGATTTATCAATTTTTAGATTTTTTTTTGAATTTCCGATTTTTCAATTTTTAGAATTTTTATTTTACCGATCTTTCGAAGTTCGGATTTTTGAATTTCTCAATTTTTGATTTTTCGGTTTTGTACTTTTTCGACTTTTCAATTTTTCAATTTTTGGAAATGTTTAATTTTCCAATTTAGTTTTCCGATTTTTAAAATTTTTAAATTACGGTTTTTCGATTTTCAGTTATTGGAATTTTTCAATTTTTTGATATGAATTTTTTGGTTTCATAATTTTTCAAGTTTTAGGTTCACTTTCCCGATTTTACATTTTTCCGATTTCTCAATTTTTAGATTTTTCTATTTAACCGATTTTTTCAATTTTTGAATTTGTCGATTTTTGATTTTAGACTTTTTCAATTTTTTCGCCTTCACAATTTTTCAAATTTTTGGAAATTTTAATTTTTCCTTTTTATCATTCTTAGATTTTCAAATTTTGGTTATTCAGTTTTTCGATTTTCAGTTTATCGATTTTTGAATTTTTAGATATTTTAATTTTTCTTCTTTCCAATGTTTCGATTTAGTAGTTTCTCGATTTGATAATTTTCCGATTCATCGATTTTTAGATTTTTTTTTGAATTTCCGATTTTTCAATTTTTAGAATTTGTATTTTACCGATCTTTCGAAGTTCGGATTTTTGAATTTCTCAATTTTTGATTTTTCGGTTTTGTACTTTTTCGACTTTTCAATTTTTCAATTTTTGGAAATTTTTTATTTTCCAATTTATAGTTTTCCGATTTTTAAAATTTTTAAACTACAGTTTTTCGATTTTCAGTTATTGGAATTTTTCAATTTTTTTATATGAATTTTTTGGTTTTATAATTTTTCAAGTTTTAGGTTCATTTTCTCGATTTTTATTCTTTCGATTTCTCAATTTTTAAAATTTTCTATTTTCCACTTTTAAATTTTTTCGCCTTTACAATTTTTCGAATTTTTGGAAATTTTAATTTTTCCTTTTTATCATTCTTAGATTTTTTTAATTTTCGATTTTCAGCTTTGATTGTTCAGTTTCTCGATTTCCAGTTTTTCGAATTTTTCAATCCTTGAATTTTAATTATTCGTGTTTTTAGTTTTTAGATTTATCAATTTCTCGATTTTTTAATTTTTAAATTGCGCACTTTTTAGATTTTTGTATTTTCGCAATTTTTCAAATTTGTGATTTTTGAATTTCTCGATGTTTGATGCTGCAGTTCGACTTTACAATTCTTCGATTTTTTAACATTCTGATTAAATATTCAGTTTCTCGATTTTCAGTTTTTCGATTTTTTAAAATTTTTCTTGTTTTTAATTTTTAGATTTTTCAGTTTTTCGATTTTACAATTTATTGATTTTTAATTTTTAGATTTGTCTATTTTCTCGGTTTTGAGAAAATTTTTGAATTTTGAATTTGTCAGCTTTTCGATTTTTAAAAAATTAAAATTTTTCGATGTTTCAACTTTTGATTATTCAGTATCTCGATTTTCAGTTTACCGAATTTTTCATTTTTCAGGTTTTTCAATTTTTAGATTTTTTCATTTTTTAATTTCTCACTTTTTATATTTTTCTATTTTGAATTTTTGATTTTTAAATTCCTCTATTTTTGATTTTTAATAATAATAATAAACATTTTTTTATTCCATATTTAATTTACCAGTTACTTGATATTTTTTATATGCAAATTTCTCGATTTTTTTTATCAGTTACTCGTATTTTAAATTTTTGTTTCTTCAATTTTTCGATTTTTCAATACTTAATTTTTTAATTTTTCGATATCACAATTTTTTCACTTTTCAATTTTTAAATTTTTTGATTGTTAAAGTTTTTGATATCTTCATTATTATTTTCCATTTTAGAATTTTTCGATTTATCAATTGTTTGATAATTTTTTTTTCATTTTGTCAACTTTAATTTTTCGTTTTCTGAATTTTTTAATTTTTCCACAAAAGTTTTTTTGTGAACTCTTCCAGCACTAAAATATTTCAAGAAAATTAGAATAACGTGGATTCCAAAAATAAATCTTGACTGTAAAGGCTAAGAAGGGGGTGTCAAAAACACAACACTATACCGTTCAAAATAATTTGAGTGACTCACCCTGTATTATAATTTTTTTTGACATTTATTTTGCCAGATAATTCTTATCTAATACTTTTTACTTCCTGGGTGTAAGCTACTTTATTGTTTTCTCGCCTGTTCATGGTCTCAAGTATGAAAAAATTTAGTAGACAGATAATCCGGACACCACAGGACTGATAGTTGTTTAATTTTATTTTTAATTTGTAGCTGTAGTTTATGAATTCTCCTTGAGTTTTTACCCTAAATGAACTAAACTATTGATATGTATATATTTATTGACGTATATGTCGTTTCGATGTATAAAATAATACCGAGGGTCGAACTAACTACATATTAGTTAACGATAACGTAAGACCTAAGTAATTAACTAATGAAGGCGTAACCAGACAACGTAACAACGCAATATTAGCGACCATTTTTTACGTTACTTACCTAACAGTTGCGGCAAATGTGGCTGCTTTTGTAGCCATTTTTGTAACATTTTTACATCCTCACGTTTTAGTTTGTTGTCTCTTCCGTACAACTGTGCCGGAGCAATGCATAATTCACTCATTGTCGAACACTGTATGACTTCAAAGTTAAATTTATTAAAGAGGCTGAAATTTTGCCTTGAGATAATTTACTGATAATAAAATTGTTTTTCAATAATAGAAGCAATTATTTCAAATCATCGCCTCATTATCTATTTTTTTTTTTACTTCTGACGAAATTACAAGAGTTTCGATAGTAAAGTCAAATTTGTGACAATTTTTTTAATCGAGTCGAGAAAATATTGACTGACAAATACAAAGAGATTAATCAATTTCAAGCTTCTTGAAAGTTCCCTCGAGTCCAGACGCCATGTGCACAATTTTCGATTTTTCGATTCTTTTCGATTCATCGACAATTTGGGAATCGTGCCATTTGAAAAAATCCACGTTGTCGAAAACGGTTTTCTCCATTTCTTCTAAAAATGAAAATTATTGTAATTAAGTTAAAATTCCAGAAAGGTGTGTGTTCGTACTTTGCAACATTAGTCGCGAAGGAAGTTCTCCTCCGTAATCCTCGGGCAAACATTCCTTCGGGACGTATTCGTACAGACTGTCAAGAGTTGGATGAATGTGTATCTGGAAACAGGACGAGATATTAGGTACTTAAAATGAGGAAAATCGCAAAACTTTAGTACCATTTTAAATAACTCAGCGCTTATCAGTGGTTTAATCATGGCCATTACTTTATCCAAGAAAGGGACAGCGTTGATCATGTGGAACCCTTTCAATCTAAGCGGAGTACCTTCCTATATAGTGCAAAAAATAAGAAAAGTACCGAAACACACTGGAACTACCCTACCTGCATAAAGTCAAGCATGCATTTCTGCGAGGCGAAATTCACCCTAGCCAAGTGCCCCAAAGTACCCCCCTGACAGTCACTCACTACAATCAGCCCATCCGAGAACCCATGTTGGTGTATACGTAACGAGTGCAGCAAATTCGTTAAGAGTACCTCATTATTGTAGTTGTAGTTGTCGGTACTATAATCGAGTAAACCAGAAAAGAAAACTGTATAACCTTCAGGGGTTTTCTTCGGAAGAAAATTCTTAAAACCTATAGAGCAAGCTCGTTTGATGACGTCATCGGTGGGGTAGTGGAACAGCTCTGGATGCAGCGTTCTTGCAGTAAAGTAGTAATCAATGGTTTTTTTGGTTGCTTGGATGCTGTAGTAGCAGCTGTGGAGGAAGATGATGATTTGCGATTCTAAAATAATATTAATAATAATAATAATAATAATAATAGTAATAAATTCGGATTGTGATAAACTAACCTTCTAGTTGTGGTAAATGCGGCTGTTTTTTCAACCACTGCTGCAAAATTTTCACATCTTCGCGCTTTATTTTGGGGTCTCTTTGGTACAATTTTTTCGCTTCGATACAAAACTGCTTCATGACCAGAACTGATAATGAGTAAGAGTGTGGACTCATTTGCGACCTTGGCGAAACATAATATGTACATTTACAGTAATAGTCGTAAATTTTTTCAGCTGTTTGAATTGTACAGAATAAGTACATAGTTCGTAATCGTCAAAAGTGTATATTAAGTCAATTGGTCATAGGATTTACCGGGAACCAGTGTCAGGTGGTGTTCAGGTCCCCACTTGTCATTTTTTATCCTTGAAAAGTGAAGAGGTGTTAAAAAATGTGCACACATTTTTATGAGGCGCAAGAATTGTGGTCTGCAATTGTGGTAATTCGTCTGAATTTAAAAGTAGTTTGACGTTGGTTTAGTTGACACGTGTAGTGAACGCATGTGATCTTCGTATGGCCTTGATTATTGTTGTTTTATTTTGTGTGGATAAGTTTATCGCAGATTGTTTGTTGTTTGTGGTAGAAAGTTTAATGGTCATTGTTTAACTCTTCTAAATATCTCTACAATGGTTAATATCTTGAATTTCTTTCGACATCAACAGATGTAACTGGTATGTACTTTAACACACTAGTAATAGTTAAAGAGCTGATTTTAGGTTAAAAAAAGTCAAAATAGTTCCAAAAAATGACAAAATAGGAGCTTTAAGTAATAAATTTTAGACAACGTCAGGTTTTCTTTGAGATCTACATTTATTTTATTGTTTTATATAATCAGCCATCCTAATCTTCGTTAAAATTTGCGTAACAAATTAGGTTTTTAAAAATCGGAGTCGAAATATCAAAAATATCAAAAATTACTCAAAGGTCGAAAAATCCAAACATCGAATTTCGAATCGAAGATGAGAAACTGAAAATTTAAAAACTCAGAAAATCGAAATATCGAAATGTTGAAAAATCGAAAAATCGAAAAACCGGAAAGCCGAAATATTGAAATAACGAAAAACCCAAAAATGAATATTGGAAAGTCGAAATTAAGCGAAATTCAAAAATCGACGGAAATAAAATCGAGACGTGGAAATTTGCGAGAATCGAGAAATTGAAAAACCGATAAATTCAAAAACAGAAAAATCGAAAAGTCAAAAAATCCAAATACCGAAAAGCTGAAAAATCCAAACGTTGAAATATTTGATAATTATAAAATCGAAAAAGTTAGTTCGAAAAATCGAAAAAACCAAAAATCGAACGATTGAAGAATACAAAATTCCAAAAATCGAAATATTGAAAAATCAGGAACTCGAAAAGTGGAAAAACCGAGAAATCTAAATTTGAAAAGTCGTGAAATGGAACAGAAAAAAAAATTAAAAAATCGAAAGATCGGAATTCGAAAAATTGAAAAACGAAAAATCCAAGTCTAAAAATTCAAAAATCGAAGTTACAAAAAGTTGAAAAAGCGAAATTAAAATTCGAAAAGTCGTAAAATCGAGAAATGGAAAATTAGGAAAATCGAGAAATTGAAAAATCGAAGAATCCAAAAATCGAAAAATTGAAAATTTAAGTCGAAAAATCGAAAAAACCAAAAATCGAAAATTCGATAGACTTATCAAAAATCGGGATATCGAGAAGGCGAAAAACCGAGAAGTATTTGAAAATTGCAAAATCGAAACCACCAAAAATCGAAAGGTCGAAGAATCCAAAATTCCAAAAATCGAGACACAAAAATCGGAATGTCGAAAAATTAAAACAACGAAAAATCGAATTATTATCAAAAAATCGAAAAATCGAGAAATCAAAATCTGAAAGCTCGTAAAAACCAGTGGAAAAAATTGGAGAATCGAGAAATTGAAAAATTGAAGTTGAAAAATCCAGAAATCGAAAAGTCCAACAAATCAAAAATCGAAACTTTGGAAAGTCGAAAAAGCGAAATTGAAAAACGAAAAGTCGGAAAATCGAAAAATGAAAAATTTGGAGAATTGAGAAATTAAAAAATTTAAAAATCTAAAAGTCGAAAAATCGAGTAATTGAAAAATTTATGTCGAAAAATCTAGAAAACCAAAAATCGAAATATCGAGAAGTCAAAAAATCAAGGAATTAAAATATTTGAAAATTGCAAAATTGAAAACACCAAAAATGGAAAGGTCGAAGAATCTAAAATTCCAAAAATCGAGATATTGAAAAATCGGAAAGTCGAAAAATTGAAATAACGCAAAATAGAATTATCGAAAAATCGAAAAATCAAAATTTGAGAAGTCGTAAAATCGAATCGGAAATATTGAAGAATCGAGAAATTGAAAAATTGAAGTCGGAAAATCGAGAAATTCAAATAATACATACATATATATTTGAAAATTGTAACATTGAAAATAGAAAATACCAAAAATCGAGAAATTGAAAACTCCAAGTCCTAAATCAAGAAATGGAAAAATAATAGAGTCGAGAACTGAAAAACCCAAATATCGAAAATTGGAAACATCAAAAATGGAGATAACGAAAAGTCGAAAAGTCCAGTAAACGAAAAATCGAAAACACGAAAAATTGAAACGAAAAATCACGAAATGGTAAAGTGGAAAAATCAAGAACCCGAAAAATCGGAACTTCGTATAGAAAATTCAACAAACTGAAAATTAGAAAACTCGGAAAATCGAGATATCGAATCAACAACTCGAAAAATTGAAAAATTGAAATATCGAAAAATCGAAAAATGGACAAATTGGAAAATCGAAAAATCGAAAAGTCGAATAATCCAAATATCGCAAAATCGAGAAATTGGAATACATATTTGATAATTGTAAAAGCGAAAATAAAGTAGAACAAAAATCGCGAAATTAAAAAATTTAAGTCGAAAAATCTAAAAAATCAAAAATTGGAAATCTGATGTATCAAAAATCGGGATATCGAGAAATCCAAAAAATTGACAAACCGAATGGAGAAATTAAAAAGTCGAAAAATTCAAAAATTAAAAAATGGAAGAAAAATTGAAGAATCGAGAAACTGAAAAATCGAGAAATCGACAAATCGTAAAAATCGAAAATTGAAAATATCAAAAATTTGAAAAATTAAAAATGTGTTAATCGAAAAATTAAAAATTTAGAAACGTTAAAAATTGAAAAATTGAAGAGCAGAAAACTTGATAAATCGTAAAAGTGAGAAATCGAGAAATTGTAGAATCGAAAAATTGCGATATCGAAAAATGTTAAATTTAATCGAAAAACTGAAAAATCTAAATATTTCAACAAATTGAAAGATAGAAACATTGAAGAACGCAAAATGGAGAAATCGAAAGTCCAAAATTTAAAAAGTCGGAATATTGAAGAATCGAAAAATTGGAAATTAATCGAAACAACAAAAAACTGAAAAGTCCAGACATTGAAAAATCGGAATGTCGAAAAATTGAAATAACCAAAAATTAAACTATCGAAAAATCAAAATTTGAAAAGTCGTAAAATCCAATGGAAAAAATTCGAGAATCGAGAAGTTGAAAAATAGAAGCTGAAAAATGCAGAAATCGAAAAGTCGAACATTTCAAAAATCGAAATGTTGAAAAATCGGAAATTCTATTAGCGTAGGGAAATAATGTAGTATACACCACAAACTTAAAACATATATTTAATTATGTAAAACAGAAACAAGTAACTAAGCCCGCTCGGAACCACGGTCTCATTGTTATTAATACATATTTCGCGCCTTCCGATTTGCGGAGCGCCTTTGCTCGTCCTCGGGTGGATGGTGGAGACTTCCGAAAGTAGCCGACAATTTGGCGGGCAAATCGAGTATTTGTAACAATTCGAATAATTGAAATAAGGAAAGATCGAATTATCGAGAATTCGAAAAATTGAGAAATCAGAATTTGAAAAGTCGTAAAATCGAATCGAAAAATTGGAGAAATGAGAAACTGAAAAATTGAAGTTGAAAAATCCAGAAATCGAAAAATCGAAAATTTGAAACATCAAAAGGTCGAGAAATCGATAAAACAGAAAATCGGAAAATCGAGAAACCGAAATAAAACAAAATCGAATATTTAAAAATTGAAAAATCGATAAAACGAATAACTGAAACTTGAAAAACTGAAAAATTTAAAACCGAAAAATCAAAAAATCGAAACGTGAAAACTGTAAAACCCAAAATTTAAAAATTCGAAAAATAGAAAAATAACGAAGAATTAAAAATTGAAAAATCTAAAATTTAAAAATCGAAAAATTGACAAACTGAAAAGACAAAAAAATGGAGAAATTGAAAAATCAAAAATTTCAAAAACTAAAGAATGGAAATATTAAAAAATTCCAAAACTGAAACATCGAAAAATCGAAGTCGAAAAAGCGAAAATTTTAAAAATCAAAAAATTGAAAAACAAATATCGATTATTCGAGCAATTGAGAAATCGAAAATTAAAAATTTAGAAACGACAACAATTGAATAATTGAAGAGCCGAAGTACTGAAAAATCGTGGAACTGAAACATCGGAAAATTGAGAAATCCATCTTTTTCGCGCTTTTTTGTTAATCTTTATTTGTTGCGTTTCTTCTCTTTTTTTTCTCTGTCGCATTTTTTTTAATTTTTAGCGCATTTTTCACCTTTTTGTTTTTTGATTTTTTCTTGTCTTTTTTTTTGGCAATTTTTTGCCTTTTTCATTTGTTACCCCTTTTTTGGTTGTTTTTTTCTGGACTGTCACCCTTTTTTGTAGTGTTTTTGTCGTCTATTTCTCTCATTCGTTTTTGTCACGTTTTTTTGAGGTACCATTTTTCTATCGCTTTCTTTACGCCTTTTTTTCCATACGTTTTTGCCATCTATTTTGTGCCTTCTTTTGCAGATTCTGTTTTGACGCTTTATCCTCGACCTTCTGATCGCGGTTTTTTGTCCCCCTTTTATCGATTTTTTGTTGCCATTCCCCCCCCTTTTTTTTTGTTGCCCTCTTTTCTGTTTTTTTTTCCAAATTTTTTAGTGGGGTTTTTGGCATCTTTTTTTGTTTCATTTTTTGCCGCCCTTTCTTTTTCCTCGTTTTTTTGAGTGGAATTTTTTGCCTACCGCATTTTTTTCGGTCTAAACAAAGAAATGGGGAAACAAAAGAATTGAGAACTGAAAAACTGAAATATAGAAAAATTGAAATGTAAAAAAATCGAGATATCGAACAGTCGACAGAATCGCGAAATTGAAATATTTGAAAATTAAAAAATCGAAAACACCAAAAATTGAAACGAAAAATCAAAAAACGATAAAGTCGAAAAATCGAGAACTGGAACAATCGAAACTTCGAATCGAAAATTCGAGAAATTGAAATTTCCAAAACTCGGGGAGTCGATATATCAAATAATCTGAAAATCAAGAAATTGAAATATCTACAAAAATCGACAACTCGAAAACTTGAAAAATCAAAAAATTGAGAAATTGGAAAATCGAAAAGTTGAAAAGTCAAAAAATCGAAAAATGAAAAAGGTGTAATATACAATTGGAAAAACAAGAGGGAATAAAGAAAATATGTTCACAGAAACGTTTTATTTTGTACATTTGAAAGAAGTTTTATTGAAGAGCCTTTAATTTTTCATATACTCTTTAGCTTCAGCTGCACAAGATTTTAACCCAGACATCAAATGTACACACAATTAAAACTCTTGTTTTTAAGACCAGCTTTAAATTGCTGAACTCGAATAAACCAACACCAAAATCATAAAATTGTTCCTATTTTTATTTACTAAGACACTCGTATCAGTTCTTGGGGAGGGCAGCGGAATAGCTAGAAATCAAAATTTGAAAAGTCGTAAAATCGAATCGAAAAATTGGAGAATTGAGAAACTGAAAAATTGAAGTTGAAAATCCAGAAATCGAAAAATCTAATAATTAAAAAATCCAGGAATTTAAATATTTAAAAATTCTAAAATCGCAAACACAGGAAATCGAGAGATTGAAAAATCGAAGTCGCATATAGGGAATTAAAAAAAAATAAAAAAATTGAGAATTGAAAAACTGAAATATCGGAAAGTTGAAATGTCAAAAATCCAGAGATATCGAAAAGTCGAAAAATTAAGAAATTGAAAATTCGAAACAAAAAAAATTGAATGGTCAAAAAATCCAAACATAGAATTTCGAATCGAAAATTCGAAAAATGGGAAAATTGATAATTCCAAAAATTGAAAATTTAAGAAACTGAAAAATTGAAAATGCGAAAAATCAGAAAATCGAAGAATTGAAACAACGAAAACTTGAATTCGACAAATCTATAAATCGAAATATCGGAAAGTCGAAAAGCGAAATCAAAAATCGAAAAGTCGTAAAATCGAGAAATGCAAAATTTGGAGAATCGAGAAACTGCAAAATCGAAAAATCCAAAAATCGAAAAGTCGAACAATCTAAATATCGAAAAGTCAAAAAATCGAGAACTGGAAAAATTGGAACTTCGTATCGAAAATTCGACAAACTGAAAAGTCGAAAACTCGGAAAATCGGGATATCGAATAATCTAAAAATCAAAAAATTGAAGTATCTAACAAAATCGACAACTCGAAAAATTTAAAAATCGAATATTCGAAAAATCGAAAAATTGAGAAATTGGAAAATCGAAAAATAGAAAAGTCGAATAATCCAAATATCGAAGAATCCAAAAATCGAGGAATTGAAATACATATTTGATAATTGTAAAATCAAAAAAAAAAAGAGCAAAAATCAAAACTTGAAAAATTTAAGTCGAAAAATCGAAAAAACCAAAAATCGGGATATCGAGAAATCTAAAAAATTGGCAAACCGAATGGAGAAATCGAAAAGTTGAAAAATTCAAAAATTAAAAAATGGAAGAAAAATTGGAGAATCGAGAAACTTAAAAATCGAGATCGACAAGTGAAAAATCGAAGTCAAAAAAGCGAAAATTAAAAATATAAAAAAATTGAAAAATCAAATATATTAATCGAAGAATTGAGAAATCGTAAAATAAAAAGATTAGAAACGTTAAAAATTGAAAAATTGAAGAATCGAAACATTACAACATCGAAAATTGTTAAATTTTGATCGAAAAACTGAAAAATAAAATTTTTTTAAATTCGACAAATTGAAAAATAGAAACGCTGAAGAACGCAAAATCGAGAAATCGACAGTCCAAAATTTAAATAGTCGAAATATTGAAGTATCGAGAAACTGGAAAATTCAAAAACTGGAATGAAGAAAAATTGGGAAATCGAAAAATCGACAAATCGAGACAACAAAAAGCCCACAAATTTGAAACATCAAAAGATCGAGAAATCGATAAATCGGAAAATCGGAAAACTGAAAGCCGAAATAGAACAAAATCGAACAGTTAAAAATTGAAAAACTGACAAATTTAAAACCCAAAAATGGAGAAATCGAAACGTGAAAACTGAAAAACCCAAAATTTAAAAATTTGAAAAATAGAAAAATACCGAAGAACAAAATTGAAAAATCTAAAATTTAAAAATCGAAAAATTGGCAGACTGAAAGGGCAAAAAAATGGGGAAATCGAAAAGTCGAAAATTTCAAAAACTAAAGAATGGAAATATTGAAAAATCCCAAAACTGAAACATCAAAAAATTGAACAATCGAATAAATATCGATCATTCGAGTAGAATCGAAAAATTAAAAATTTAGAAATGTCAAAATGTCCCGGAAATTTGAGAAATCCATCTTTTTTACGCTCTTTTCCGAACTTTTTTGTTAATCTTTTTTGTTGCGTTTCTTCTCGTTTTTTTTGAGTTGCATTTTTTTTCTGTCGCATTTTTTACATTTTTAGTACATTTTTCACCTTTTTGTTTTTTTATTTTTTCTTGTCTTTTTTTTTGTCAATTTTTTGCCTATTTTATTTGTTATTTGGTGGGGTTTTTGGCATCTTTTTTGTCTCATTTTTCTCGCCTTTTTTTAACCCTGATTATTGGTCTTTCTTTCATCTTTTCTTTCGTCCCTTTTTTCTTTGTCTTTTTTTTGTCACTTTTTTTGTTGCTTTTTCAAAAAGTGCTACTTTTGTTTTTCAGCGCATTTTTGTGGATTTTTTGTCACCTTATTTTCTACTTTTTTCAGTGGACTTTTTTCCTGTAGTGGTTTTTTGCTCCTGTTTTATCGTTTATTTATCACCCTCTTTTTGTCTTTTCTTTGTCGCTCTCTTTTTTCGACTTATTTTGATTGCGTTTTTTTTTTGCAAAAATTCGATTATATCAAAAATCGATATGTCGAGAAGTCGACAAAATCGAGAAATTGAAAAATCGAAAACACCAAACATTGAAACGAAAAATCAAAAAATGCCAAAGTCGAGAAATCAAGAACTGGAACAATCGGAACGTCGAGTCGAAAATTCGAGAAATTGAAAATTCCAAAACTCGGAGAATCGAGATATCAAATAATCTAAAAATCAAGAAATTGAAATATTTACAAAAATCGACAACTTGAAAAATTGAAAAATCCAAAAATGAAAAGGTCTACTATTATTTTATTTAATTTGTTTTAACTCTTGTTTTTAAGACCAGTTTAAAATTGCTGAACTCGAATAAAATAAAATAAAAATGTTCCCATTTTTATTTACAATTAAGACACCTACACAAAATCACACCTGTTTAATTTAGTTATTCAATCAATTTCAAGCTTCTTGAAGGTTCCTTCCGCACCAAAATTCGACCCCCCGATATTCGACTTCTCAACTCTCTTCGACTCATCAACAGTCTGTAAATCGTGCCAATTGAAAAAATTCACGTTGTGAAAAATATCATCTATCATCTCCTCTACAAACAAACAGTTAATTAAGTACCTAAGTTACGATTTGTGATACCTGGTGGTACCTTGCATCGCCTGTCTGGAAGGACCCTCCCCACCGTAATCCACAGGCAAGCATTCCCTCGGGATGTAATCATACAAAGAGTCGAGTGTTGAATGGATTTGTACCTGTAAACAAACCATTGACGGGACTTTGAGTTCGAGCGTCATTTTATTTTACCATCTGGAATAATTTACTGCTCATTAGTGGTTTCACTAAGGCCATCACTTTGTCCATGAACGGAACTGCGTTAATGACATGGATGCTTTTTAATCTAATTGGCATTCCCTCCTGTAATTGCAAATTAAAAACAACAAAACACTAAAATTAAAGCAATTTTTTGACCTGGAGATGCTCAAACATGCATTTTTGGGACGACAGATTCACTCTGGCTAAGTGTCCCAACGAACCCCCTTGCAAATCGACTATCACAATCACCCCTTCTGCAAAACCGTATTTGTGTACGTGCAGACAGTACACCAAGTTCAGCAGAAGCAGTTCGTTATTGTAGTTATACTTTTCTGGTCTGTGATCAAGCAGTCCAGTTAAGAGGATGGTGTACCCTTCTGGTGTCATTTTCGGGAGGATTTTTTTGATGCTGGTAGGGTTTGATTGTTAACGTTTTCGTCCGTTTGGCGTCTATGACTTACCCTACAGAAAAATTCTCTCGTACTAGTTCTTGAGGAGGGCAGCAGAATAGCTGTGGGTGCAGACTTCTTCGCGTGAAATAACTATCAATGGTGGCTTTGGTTGCCTGGATGCTGTAGTAGCAACTGTGGAGGAAGATGATCACTTGAGACTCTAAAAAAAAATAGGTACAAGGTACAAGAGCGTCTCATTATTATTATTTTTACTAACCTTCTAACTCTGGTAAATGTGGTTGCTTTTTCAACCACTCCTGTAGAATTTTCACATCTTCGCGGTTGATTTTTGGGTCTTTTAGGTACAGTTTTTCTGCCTCAATGATGCACTGCATTTGTGACTGGCAAAATTTATAAGCTAACTAACCAGTTCCAGAGCTGGTGATGTGACGTCAATAAAAATGTTCCGTTATACGACGCGAGCAGTCGCGTTATATGTTTTAAATGTAACTTTTTTAAAACATGTGCATTACAATTAAATGTGGGCATAAATAGGCGTTATCAACGCAGTTCATTGTTGTTTTCAGTAATCAGAATCACCACAAGTAAGTTATTACTTGCGCTTTCAGAGTCAATGACTTGTTTATCTATTCGCATTGAAAACTGGAAGTGTGTCGGACAAGTTTTTTTACTAGAAAAATTAGTGCCATAAAAAGCGGTCTAAATTTAAGTTTTTCAACGCTCTAAACTTTTGAACGGACAAAGAGAAGCCATTTTGGTTTTTATTATTCGATTTCTTGAAGTTTTCTGGTCGATTCTTTAGTATTTAGGTCCAAAATCCTTGCTTAGGATCTCCGCAAGAGATTATTAAAAAAATCAAAAGCTCTTCTACATTTTTTGGCCCCAGATTCTTATTCAGGAGGTTCGAATTAAGGAAAAGAGTAATTTTCAGACAAATCGAGAAAACCGAAAAAACCCGAATTGATCTAATTTTGAAATATCTGATACAGAAAAATTAAAATATTTATAAATTGAAAAATCTAGAAACCGAAAGAACGAAAAATTGAAAAATTGAAAACTAGAAAACTTGAAAGCAAAAAACTGTAAAATCGTGAAAATTTCAGTTTTAATAAACTTGTTCTTTTTGTTCAAAATTTAAAAATTACAATCTGAATTGAATGCAAAACAAAATCTGGGAAACCGAAAAATAAAAAAATCGAAAAACAAAAAATTCTAAAAATTGAAAAACTGAAGATTTGAAATTAGAAGACCCTGAAATCGGAAAATTGTAAAATCGAAAAATTGAAGAAACAAAAATTCACAATTTAAAATAATTATTATCTTGACACCCCCAACATTTTTATCAAAAATTGAAACAGGTTTTATTATACTGGAAATCCATCATTTTGACGGAATTTTTATCTCTATTTCTTAGAGAGTACATATATCATTTTCAAAGTCAGTCATATCTTACGAAGTACTAGCTCCGCCCATCCACCCCTCTCTATTTTTTAGAGGATATATCAGTTGCTAAAATCAGTCTTATCTTAACAGGTACTAGCCCCGCCCACCCGCCCCCTAGTTTCTCAGAGGATATGTGACTTGCCAAAATAAGACCTACGTTATTAAGTACTAGGCCCGCCCACCCGCCCTTTGTTTTCTCAGAGGGTAGTACTTGCTAAGATAAGTCTTATTTTGGCAGATGACATATCCTCTCAGAAAATAGAGGCGGGTGGGCGGGGCTAGCACTTGCTCAGATAAGACTGATTTTGGCAGACGCCATACCCTCAGAGAAAATAGAGGGCGGGTGGGCGGGACTAGTGTTTGCAAAAGGTAAGGTTTATTATATTATTATAACATAAACTTTGAGAAAATAGGGGGCGGGTGGGTGGGGCTAGCACTTGCTAGGATAAAACTGATTTTGGTCCTGTTAAACTTATACTATGCCGAAAGAATTACCCAAAAAAATAAACATTTTTTTTTTATTTCAATCTTCCTTAATTAAATTTTTGGACTAATTCTACCCAGCTGTTTTACCTTTGCAAATATTGGCCCCGCCCACCCGCCCTCTATTTTCTCAGAGGGTATGGCGTCTGCCAAAATCAGTCTTATCTGAGTAAGTGCTAGCCCCGCCCACCCGCCCGTATTTTCTCGGAAGAAATGTCATCTGCCAAAATAAGACTAATCTTAGCAAGTACTACCCTCTGAGAAAACAAAGGGCGGGTGGGTGGGGCTAGTACTTTGCTAAGATAGACTGATTGTGGCAAATGACATATCCTTTCAGAAAATAAAAGGGGGGTGGGCGGGGCTAACACTTTCTAAGATAAGACTGATGCTGGCAAACGATATATTCTTTAAAAAAATAGAGGGGTGGGTGGGTGGGGCTAGTATTTCGTAAGATATGACTGATTTGGAAAATGATATATTCTCTGAGAAAATAAGGGGCGGGTGGGCGGGGCTAGCACTTGCTAAGATAAGACAGATTTTGGCCCTATTAAACTTGTATCGTACTACTCCAAAAAAACATATTTCAATCTTCCTGAAATTAAGTTTCTGGACTAATTTTGCCCAGCTGAGTGCGTTTTTACAATTGCTTGTTAAATATTTTCACCATATTAAACGAAATCTATCTTAAGAACAATTAAAACATGTACAAATTGAAAAATCTAAAAGCCGAAGGAACGAAAAATTGAAAAATTGTAAATTTAAAAAATCGCAAAATCCGAGAAATGAAATTCTAAAAATTTGAAAAATTGAAAACTAGAGAACTTGAAAGCGAAAAATTGTAAAATCGCAAAACTATAAAATTGAATAATTCTAAATCGAAAAAGTTAAAAGTCCAAGTAATTATAAAATTGAAAAATTCAAAAGGTTGATAAATAGAAAATTCGCAAAACTTAAAACAAATTCAAAAAATTCTAAAATCTAACAAAAATTTAATTTTAGAAAATTCAGAAATTTGGTATATTAATTATTATTATGAGAAAATTCAATAATAGGTGTTATTTTTAAAAGAGATCAGTCAATACAACATAAATAAATGCGGCGAAAGCAATTAAAAATTAATTAGTTTAGAAAAATTTAAATATATAATTATATAAACCGAAAGATCCAAAAACTGTAAAATTGTGAAAATTTCAGTTTTAAAAAACTTGTTCTTTTTGTTCAAAAATTAAAAATTAGAATCTGAGAATGGCGCATTAAAAAATTGAGAATTGAAAAATTTATAAGCTAAATTAAAAATTGACAATTCTACAAATTGAAAAAAATCCTACAAATAGAAAAAATGAAGACGTGAAAAATCGAAAATCGATTAACTGAAATAAGAAACGATTAAAATATCCACAAATTGAAAAATTGAGAAAGTACAAAACTGAAATAATCAAATAATGCAAATCAAAATCTGAGAAATCGAAAAATCAAAAAATCGAAAAGCAAAAACTTCTGAAAATTGTAAAATTGCAAAAATTTAGACTGAAGTCTAGAAGACCTGAAATCGAAAAATTTAAGAAACAAAAATTCATAATTTAAAATAATTATTATCTTGGCAATTCCAACATTTTTATCAAAAATTGAAACAGGTTTTATTATACTAGAAATCGATCATCTTGACAGAAATTTTTTTCAAGATCCACCCTCTATTTTCTTAGAGGGTACATATATCATTTTCCAAATCAGTCATATCTTACGAAATACTGGCCCCACCCACCCACCCCTCTCTATTTTTTTAGAGGATATATCATTTGCCAAAATCAGTCTTATCTTAACAAGTACTAGCCCCCCCCACCCGCCCTTCATTTTCTCAGAGGGTTGTACTTGCTAAGATAAGTTTTATTTTGGCAGATGACATATCCTCTGAGAAAGTAGGGGCGGGTGGGCGGGGCTAGCACTTGCTCAGATAAGACTGATTTTGGCAGACGCTATATCCTCTGAGAAAATAGAGGGCGGGTGGGCGGGAGTAGTATTTGTAGAAGGTAAAACTTATTTTGGCAAATAACATAAACTCTGAGAAAATAGGGAGCGGGTGGGTGGGGCTAGCACTTGCTAGGATAAAACTGATTTTGGTCCTATTAAACTTATACTATGTCGAAAGAATTACCCAAAAAAATAAACATTTTTTTTTTATTTCAATCTTACTTAATTAAGTTTTTGGACTAATTTTACCCAGCTGTTTTACCTTTGCAAATATTAGCCCCGCCCACCCGCCCTCTATTTTCTCAGAGGGTATAGCGTCTGCTAAAATCAGTCTTATCTGAGTAAGTGCTAGCCCCGCCCACCCGCCCCTATTTTCTCGGAAGATATGTCATCTGCCAAAATAAGACTGATCTTAGCAAGTACTACCCTCTGAGAAAACAAAGGGCGGGTGGGTGGGGCTAGTACTTGTTAACGTAAGTCTTACTTTGGCAAGTGACATATTCTTTGAGAAAATAGTGGGCGGGTGGGCGGGGCTAGTACTTGTGAAGATTAAGATAAGACTGATTTTGGCAAATGCCATATCCTCTGAGAAATTAGACTGATTGGCTCTATCAAACTTGTACTACTCCAAAACGAATGCAGAAAAAAATAAACATATTTCAGACTTCCTGAAATTAAGTTTCTGGATTCATTTTGCCCAGCTGACTGCGTTTTTGACATTGATTGTTGAAAATTTTCACTATTTTATACAAAATTTTTCTTTAACTAAAACTCAAAAAACCACCTCTCTACAATATTTTGGATTCCAGATTCTTATTTAGGAGGTTCGAATTAAGGAAAAGAGTAGTTTTCAGATATATCGAAAAATGTTTAACCGAAATAACCTGAAATGATCCAGTTTCAAAATTAAAACATCTACTAATTGAAAAAATCTTAAAACCGAAGCAACGAAAAATTGAAAAATTGTAAACTTACAAAATCGAAAAATCTGAGAAACGAAAATCTAGAAATTTAAAAAATTGAAAACTAAAAAACGTGAAAGCGAAAAAGTGTAAATTTGAATAATTCTAAATCGAAAAAGTTAAAACTCCAAGTAATTATAAAATTGAAATATTCAAAATTTGATAAATAGGAAATTTGAAAAACTTAAAACAAATTCGAACAATTGTAAAATCTGCCAAAAATCGAAAAATCGAGAAATTGCAAAATCCCAGGATTTTAAAAAAATCAAAAATTTGTGATATTAATAATTATTATAAAATTCGAAAATAGGTGTTATTTTTAAAAAAGATGAGTCAACACAACATAAATTAACGAGTTGAAAGCATTTAAAAATGAAATAGTTTAGAAAAATTTAAATATATAAACCAAAAATTGTAAAATCGTGAAAATTTCAGTTTTAATAAACTTGTTCTTTTTGTTCAAAAATTAAAAATTAGAATCTGAGAATGGAGCATTAAAAAACTGAAAACTGAAAAATTTATAAGCTAAATTAAAAATTGAAAATTCTACAAATTGAAAGAAATAGCCCTACAAATGGAAAAAATGAAGATGTGATTAACTGAAATAATAAACAAT